TCCAATCATTATTGTCGAAAAACCAGTTAGGCACGAAAGATAAATTTGAACTTTTATAAAACAGTGACAATAATTATTAACTTTATACTAGTAACAATATTTTTGAACTACAAAAATATATTTCAAACCGTTATTGCGATCTCAAAATAAACCGAATATCAACATTTTCAGTTATTCCCCAGTACCTCTCCTAGAGAATAAATTTCAATAAGTTAATCATCTTGAAAATTCTGTATAAACTGTATGAGTATAATTTCTGACTCTTCTCAATCGAGTTATATCCGATTACAGTATTTATAAAAATAGATCATAAAAGCTTGCCGGTGATACATTTGTTCTGGCCTAGTGTTGAACTGATGCAAAAAGATAATTTGCATAAATTATGTACAAAAATATTGTTTGCTTGTATGTAACACTTATACTAACTTGTTCTTTTATGTTATTCTATAAATCTTAATAATATTTGTTTGCTACTAAATTATGATTTTTTTTTTGTCTATATAACAAGACATTATTATAACAAGTGCTCTGGATAATACATATCTTATTTCAATGGCTTGTTATCAAATTGATAAAAATAAAACATACTAGTCTTAAACATTTTTTTTTCATTTTCCAAAGTAAAAATAATGAACTTAGGAATTAATTATTATTATTTGTAGAGCCTACGAAGTGAGCACAGAATACACAACATAGATTTTCTATTAATATCTCATATATGTATACATATTAACAATTCTTTTGACTTACATCTATTTCAATTTTAAATATAATTTTTGTTTATCCCGATAAAAAACTTCTTTAGGTAGTGTATTTAATTATTTTTGGACGTGTCTTAATACCGAAATGGAGGTTTCCTTATTATGTTAACACATTTTTTTTAAAGTATTTGTTGAGTTTCAATAAAAAAAACAGAAATAATTATAATCTTAATTCAATTTAAATCTGGTCTCCTGAACATTTTTAAATAATTACGAGTGCAAGCACTTTTTAATGTATTATTTACATATTTTTATAATCAGTTATGATAATAAAAATAAATGTCTACAAAGTAGTAATAATGAACAAAAATATTTTAATAAATAATAGGTATACACCATAAAAATTGTCTTTTCACTTTAACTAGATACAATATAATATATATATATATATATATATATGTTGATGATACATAGATTAAATTGTTCGATACCACTTTACCGAATCAAAATCCCAAGTAATTAAAAAAAAAAATCACATATTAACTATACCACTTTATTTATTTACTAATAATATTCGTTTGTTATTTGCATAGATACAAATCTTTCAATAATATTATAGTTGTTATCTTGGGCTTGTCACGTTTATTAGTAATAGATAAATAAATAATAATGATAAAAATGTTGTTAGCTTCATAACTTTATTATATTTTAATGTTATATTTCGTACTTCTTTTTAAATATTTAATTCGCCAATTTAGTAACACAATTATTTCTCATTATGGTATTATAATTATAGTTATTGCTTAGTAGTGGCTTTTAATTTTTTTCACACTATTTTGATAACGATTTCTATTCGTAAACTAAACCTAACCGCGACAGGGTTGACCGTCTCGACTTTAAGAACAATAAAGACACATCTGTCCAAATAATATATTATCATTCTCGATCATGTACCACTGTTGATGATAAATCTTTTTTTAGTATTCGGCGTGACCCGTCATGGATGGTAACGTTAAACGTAGTATTGTTATCTGCCGCTGACCGTTTAATGCAATAACTGTGCGCCACTCGGCCTCTGACACGCGTTCCGTATGTATACTAATATTATACTTAAGTATATATTATTATTATGTATAAGAAATGTTCAGGCTAAGTGTGTCGGCTGTCGCGGGTTCCGGACACATGTGCGCTGGTTGACGCTTTTTTAACGGACGCTGGGCCTCTTTAAACCATTAATAAAACATGATATTTTGCCATTACTAAGCGTCGTCGTCCGCGCATGAGAAATTAGTTTATAATAATAACGTATTATACACGTGATGGTGGCGATAATATAGTATTGCCAGTTGCGCACCAGCTCATGGTAATGTAAGTGATTTGGTATTTTTTTTAACAACAAGACGGGTACAAAAAAAAACACATAGACCGTAAGACGTAGAAGAAATATAATTCTTAGCACTCAGTCTAACAGATAAAAAAAAAAAAAACTACTAGCCCGACCAAAACTAATGGAAACATTCGTAAAATGGATTTCGGCTAATCGATCGAAACGAGGAAACAAACAAGCAACAAAATATTGCAACACCATGGAGGTCATTAATGCGTTGTCCTTAATGTGAACCGTGATTATAAGAAGGCGTCATACTCAGAGTTAGGTAGTTATTTTTCTTCCAATCCATCCATTTTTCTGATCTATATTTAGCCACGTCCAATCCGTTTTCTTTTGGTTCCTGGTGAATTTTGAGCTTAAACACTTATTAAATCGATAAATAATAGAGATAATCTGTTTTATTCAAATATCATTATTAGGCAATAGGCTTAATATTTGATGTTAAGAAAATACATTGTTTTACTTGAAAAAAAAACCGGCATAACTTTTTGCTTTAAAATATAAAATGTGCAATTTGCTCACAACGGTTATCATTTTGTTTGGTTTTTTTTCTCTAAAAACATCACGGAAGAAGTAAATAAAACGCTTTCTATGAATTTATTTTTTTGCATGACCATCAGACATTTACTAGTAAATTACAGTTATAAAGTCCTCTTTAAGATTGACTTCCTTATTAAGTACTTGAAATGGACTAGGTGAAGCTTTATATATTATTATATATAATAGTCTTCTTTTATATATTGTTCACCGTCCGGTTCATCTTGGCCCTCGGTTGGTAATTAAAAAACATTATAATTTATATTAAATTTTAGTAAAAAAATTGTAGAAGATATTTCAATTTAATATACATATAACAATAGTGCGAATAGATAAAATATGCTGACACTATTGAAAATTGATCTGCCATTACTTACAACACAAATAATATATAGTAAGCAAATAGTACTTAATCAATAGTTTAGTAGAAGTTCGGTATAATTTTTTTTTTTAATGATAGTGATATCCCTGTATGTTTTGTTAGGTAGGAATAATTTAGGTGATTGTGGGTTCTTATTTTTTTACATTAATGGCTTTCTTCAAGTAATAATTCTAACCTGAAAAGTAGAATTCCACTTTTATTAAATTAAGATTATCGTTGTTTTTTATTTAATTTTTTACCACGCCTGTTATTACTACTGTGCTTTATGTTTGATAAAAACATAATGATCAAAGTTGTCTTGGCCACAATGAAATATGATCCAAGTCCAGATAGTTTGGACTTACTATTGGATACAAGCTCGAATCATGAGAGTATTTGTGAATCCTTCGACTATAATTTAAGTTACAATAATATATAAGGCGTATATCGCTAGTAAAACTACACCCACAAAAAATAAAATTTACATTAAATATTTCAAAACCAAACTGACCAAACACTAAAAATAATTGATCCACGAAATGCCAGAACTTCATTTCTTTGGAATTGGGATTTGAAAAATCATAATTGGCTTTTTATTGAAAAATTGGATTTGTGGCCTAAGTTTTTTGGGTGCTATGAGGTGAATAGCATCATATTACTAAAAAAAAAAATTGCTTTATGATATTAATAACAGAAGGCTTACATGACTGACTATAACGTGCTGCATTAGGCCACGACCGAATTGGTTACAAAGTGTCTGAATTGACTGTCAACTTCTGCTTTGTTATAAAAAAAAAACGAATCAATAAAGACAGATTTCATTCAACCTATTACTTTTAATTTTCTTTTACAAAAAAATCATTGGTTTTAACTAGAAAAGCTATTTAGTTTAATACGATCAAACTTTAAAATTTATCAAGACAATATTCGTAGCTTGCTATGCTTTTGATTAGTATCGGCATTAAATAATCATAAATAATATTTAGTGTATTTTATAATCAACGGTATATTAACGTCGAGGACACATATCTTTAACGCGTTTGGATTTATCATGCAGCCAACTTGTTAGTGCTGCTAACTCATAATGAATTATTGAACTTGTTCTGTCTGCGCTTGCACCGCTAGACTTGTCTGATGAATATTTCGAAACAAATCACACGATAATATCTAGATGTCGATTTTTAAGTAAACCTAACGTTTATACCTGAATCGGTAATACCGCAGGCAGTGCTTTCCGGAGGCAACTCGACGCTTTGACGACCAAAACCGTCCAGACACACACGCGGGGTATATTATTATCACCGCATTAACAAATAAAGCATATACCGCAAGCACAAGAAGCGGATTCCCGGAACACCGTCGACCGGACGGGCTTAATTACGTACTGATGGCACGTATCGCGGCTGTCATTGCCGTGTAACCACCGCCGACTTCCCCTACGCCCTCTCCTATATTATATTATATTCTCCGCTCCGATCATTCTGTCTGTCGATCCGCAGGTGTCAGTGTCGTGTGAACGCTGGCCTCCCGCCTGACCTATACCGTCTGCTAGCAGCTGTATACAATATACAGTATTGAGTATACACACACTCACACACGGTCAACGGCATACCCGGCTATACCTAAGCTAAAAAAAACGGGTCTAACTTGGCACTAACGTCGTCAGCCGTTAAAGTCTCCGGCCGCGGTATAAGAAACTCTGTAATATACCTACATGAGGAAGTCTCATCGGCTCTCTGTGTCGCGGTAGGTAATGTAGAAGGATCGCCGGCTCGCGCACGCTTTTACGATTATTGGTTTTTAACAAGCGCGACCAATGTCGGTCTGCTCGCTAAACAATACTCTCGCAATCGCCGTTATTATTGCTAATGTGTATAACAATTATTAATATATATGTACATACCTCTATATATTATGTACAATATGTGTATACATTATGCTTACACGAAATATATTGTATGGGATGTGCGTGCACTAATGGTTTTTCATTTTTCATATTTTTTTTTCGCAGAGATCTCACTTGACGCGATATGGGCAAGACAACGACCGCCAGAATCGAGGCGTGCCTGTGGATCCTAACGATTTCCGTGAGTATACATAATGGTGTTCTACACGAGCACAACGATTATTATAACATATTTTACAAATAGCCTTTATTAACATAACGGCCTAAAAAAGGGCACCACGCTAATTTTGTCTAGCCAGTAAACCATATCTCTCACTTCTCTACTCTTGAGAAATCTAGCAGTTTTCATCATTACACAAAATAAACATCAAGACTTTAACTAAATTTTGACAGGCGATATGAATTAAACAAATGATGAAATTCGATGATCAGTTTTAACTAAAATTTCATAACTTTGTATTGATATTGAATATAGTATAAATGCGCTGTTGCTCTAAAGCTACTCATTTTTTTTTTGAAAAAAACATCTGATATATATTTTGAACAAAAATTGCTAAAAAAACTGCGTTGTAAGTGCGATAAAATCATTTTCAAACAAACACTCTGATGCGAATGTTTAAGTGGTAGAAATACAAAATATGGAAAAGCATTGGTATGCAAAAATGTGTTTAAAATTGTAATTTTAGTATTAGGTTGGATGCGATTAGGGCTGATTACTGTCTTTCCAAATAGGTGACAAACCGAAAATGTATTAAATACTCTATCCCCCAAAAGAGATGGAAACTTTTTCTTTATTTTGAATTTTTGGGACTTAAGATCTGAAAACTAGGTTGAATCTAGATATCTAAATTGGGGCTATAGCTTCATCTAATTTTCTCAAAAAATAGAGATCAAAATATTAAATATATTGTTTAAGCTCTCGTCAGCTAATAAAACAAACATTTTTTTAAGATTTATGTAAAGTGTTCTCTATTTTTTTTTATTCTTGTTGTGGTTTTACAAATATTTAACGAGTGTTGGCTTGTTCTACAATACATAATAATAGTAACAATAAAAACGCTATTTTGGTTTATTATTTTACCTGATCACTGCAAGTTTATTTAAAAAAGATTATTAACGTGAAAGCACCTCAGCCACGTCCGCGGTCAATCCTCTGTGTCGCCAAAAAATACTCATTATAATCCATATATTAGTCACGTGCAGTCTCGCACAAAGCTGCTTAAAACAGCTATTCACGCGTAAGGTAGTCGAAATGCCACGGCCGGTCAAAGACGCTGGCGGTGACTTTTTGTTGAGTATAATAAGAAAAAAACTGGTATGTGTTCCACCAAAATGGTTTAATGTAATATTGTTTAAACATAACAGGACGCGCGACCGTTTTACATAAATACATATTATAGTGCGCGGGCATTTACATTTTTATATTTCTGGTTTTAGCAAGGAAGTCCTGAGCTACACGATTATTTTTTTTATACATAATAATTATGTACTAACAGAAAAATAAAGTAATGACCGACTGACGGGGCTCTTCTGGGTCGGCGTCGTCGTTCATTGATATTTTTTATGTTGGTATGCGGAAGCATAAAAAATAAATACAATTAATTGAGCCTATTCACCTCCGGCCTAACAAAATGGTTACTGTTTCACAATGTTTTCTTATAAATTTCGATTTTCATTAAATACCTATCTTGTCTGTTCGACGCTGTGTCTCAAAATCATTAATTAAAATACAGTATGCATATTAGATACATTCGTTTAACTGTTAAGTATATTTAATTTATGTCAACGGTAAACTGTAAAAAAGCTACACACCAGAAATATGGGCGTTTATGGAAATTATGTGCAAATAAAATGTAAAAACGTCCAATAGGTAAAAACAGCACTTTCGCAATATAATAATTATTGTCCACAGTAATTTAGGCCGTACAAATGTTATTCGCCGATAAAACATAATAATGGTTATTAATGAAATATATTTAAAGTAATTATACTCTACGCCTAATAAGTGTAATTACAAACATGTAAGTAGATATCTAATTTACCAGTACTTCTTCATACAATTAGCCGCTTGAATATTTGGTTGTATAACTTAATTTAGTAAAATTCTATGTTGTTGTTTAAATGATACATGTATAATTATTTAACTATACTCAATTTAACAATTTTAAAATATAATTTTTATTAAATATAAAAACATAACATATTATTATTACCGTGTATCTCAAATATGAGTCATGAAAATCAACAGTTTCTTCAGATTCTTGTCTTTACCTACTTATTAACCCGAGCGATGTCCAATATATTATAATATACATCCGTTAATTCGTTATTGCTTATTATCGCGTTTGGCTTTCAACAATAGGGTTGATTCTTGTAAGGTCATACCTACGCTAGCAGGCGGTTAAAGTCACGTGCTTTACTGTATACCCAAACTGGTGTACCGTTGCTTTTGAGTGAAACGTGCACAACAGGTTTTCTTAAATTATGCTCCCTATATTGAGCGACCACTATAATATGTATAGTCTTCTTCGTAACAATTTGGATAGAAATTCCAGCAACACACTCTCGGTTAAACACTTTTAAAAGAAATTATCAAAATTTACTTATAGTAATTTCTACCAAGAGTTTTTTTTATTTTATTTTAACCAATTTTTCTTTAAACCACGTCGACAAGTATAATTATGTCCTATTTTTTTTAAATACATTAAATGAAGTGTAAGATTTATAATGATATAATCTAACATGCGTGACAAACAATATTATATAAATTTAAAAAAAATTGTATACGACTAGTGTAACTGGTTGACTGATTAAATCGCAACGGCGCGTTGGGTGTCATTTGCTTAAACGATTAAAACTACATAGTAATCGATAGATGACGTTCAAGGTCAAAACCCAAGACACATCGATAAAAATTATTATTGCACTGAACTCGATTTTCTTGTCGGATTAAAAACTAATAAAATTTTAATAACTCAATTTTGTTTACTGTATATACTACTATGTTCTCTCATGTCCGATATCGCTTTTATTCATCATTCACATTTTGTAGGAACACCGAATCGAACACGTACTTAGATTTATACTCCAGTGTCGGAATCGCGATGAGATCACTCGCGTGACCCGAAAACCAACTCGGTCTAACGTCAAAATTACAAGAAGCCCTATGAGTAATGGGATATTCAACTTCTTGTACTAAAAGTAGCGCTTAGCGGTGTCAGGTTGTAATTATTTTAAAGTATTACCCATAAAATCTAACTATAAATCATCATAGATACTCTATACTGGCCATATTATACTTACGCCAAACGAAACACCTCTTAACGAATTCGTTTAACATTATATAATATATATATAGGTACAGCTTCTTGTTTTTTACTGCAAAACGGTTAGATAAATTAACCGTTAAAACTAAATTGAATTTGCCACTTTTGAGAGCAGACATATACTTATTCAAAAAGTTTTCTAAAGTGTCTCAATCATGTTTGGTCCGTACGACCTTTAATAAAACTTAGTTATCGCTTACAAGTACCAATGGAAGGGAATGGGGTTTCTTCTAATCTCCTCCCTTGCTTCCATCAATTATCATTACAAATATAATCAAAATTATAAATTTTACTTTTGACATTTTTAGAAAAGCTTCAGACCTCCTCATAAGAGCACCGTAGAAATGTCTAAACGTCTAACTTCTAAAAGTGCTCAAGCACTACAAATTAAAAGTTTTCTTTTCATTTTTAAGGAGATAAAACATATACCGATATACCGCTTACAAAATATTACAGCTGTTACGATTAGTCGACTATTAGAATCGTTGTAACGAATCGTTTGCTTGTCTTGCAGATTATGGCGAGCGGTTCGGTGGGCGCCGGCGACATTTGGCCCCTAGAGCGGCCGGAAGGCATGCCGGTGATCCAATCGTTGGAGGTGATGTGCGGCAAAGACCACATGGACGTTCACCTGCAGTTTACGCAGCCGTTTGAGGGAATCGTGTCGTCCAAAGGTCAGTACGGTGACCCGCGGTGTGTGTACGTGCCGCCGTCCACTGGCAAAACGTTCTTCACGTTCCGCATAGCGTACGCCCGGTGCGGTACCAAGCCCGATCTGAACGGTCAGTTCTACGAGAACACGGTGGTGGTGCAGTACGACAAAGACCTGCTAGAGGTATGGGACGAGGCGAAGCGGCTTCGGTGCGAGTGGTACAACGACTACGAAAAGACCGCCTCCAAGCCGCCTATGGTCATCGCCGACCTGGACGTCATTCAATTAGATTTCAGAGGTGAACACCATTTATTGTTTAGACGTGGCTACCAACTTTTTAATAATTATTTTTTTGCTGTCGACCTATTTCTTCACCGTAAATAATATTTGTGTTCGCAGTCATTTCGAAAAATCAAATATGTATGAAAATTAATCAAACAATAATTGTGGTACAAAAATAAATATATATAAATTTCTAAAGATTTCTAGACTGTTTAATCGTGACAATGTAATCATACAGCGATTACTATTTACTTTTTTACGGTTTTATACGTTAAACCACATCTAATTTTTGTTAATTAAAAACTAGAAAATTCTATAATTTCAATTAAGTGTAACGTATTACACTTTATAAGTATTTAAAAGACGCCTTCTAGATAGTATTTAATTTTCGGAATATTTTAAACAAAGTATGTATGATTGTCTTTTTCGTTGCGAAGATAGAAGTATCAATCCCGCTCTGCGATCATTATCCATTTAATTATATTTCTTATTAAGGATATTGGGCTAACTGAGAAAACTCACTTCGGGGACTCAAATAATTTTAAACTAAATTATAAATACAATTTTCTAAGCTGTCATCAATATATTATAATAAATCATTCAAGTAATTTTGGTTATTCGCCAGTCACTTGACTTAATAATTGGGTTATGACCTTTTCGAAATGATATGTTAATACTGACTGTAGAGGTTTCGAAATGACTATACGAACTGAACCGTTGCGTTGGTACAAATTAATCTAATCGCCAATTTTGTTTTCAGGTGACAACGTCGACTGTTGGATGGAAATACAGCACGGCAAGGGACCGTGGGCACCTCCCGTCAGCGGCATCGTTCCTTTGGGCTCCACCCTGACCCTCGTAGTGGCCATCAACGATTTCAGAGGTAGAAAAAGAAAATAACTAATACTTCATACTAATAATAGGCATAATTATTAAGAATTATCGCTCCGATTTTCGTGATAATAATTAATACTATCCGGTTCTCATCTAACGTGGCGACGGCACTAAACAACAAATGATATTGCATTTAAATTATTATGAATAAGTTTAATTGCCGGAAATTCTCGTCCGCAAAAAAAAATGCAACTAGCTATCTCAGTTCTAATTAATTTTAACGAAGACAATAAACGGCGCTCGTCATAAAATATTTTTAATTAGAACTTAAGTATTTACATAGAAACTCACGCACACAAATAAAAATAGGTACTTCCTGACAAATAAAAAATAACCCACTAATTAACCATATTCAGAACAATATTTAACGATGTAATCCACTAAATATTTTATTACAAGTAAAGTATATTATACTATTATAATATATTATATAGTATAGTAGTTATACAGCGACATAGATACTATCAGACATAATAGTCGACGGAATATTCAAAAGTACTACCAAGGTCTAATATAGGCCAAAAAATAAGTCCTCGCTCATAAATCAATATATATTTCCTAATGTCTATTATAGTTTATGTGTTGATTAACGAACACATTTGAGGAGTACAGAGAAAAATATAAAACAATTAATCAATTTTATTAATTTGATATTATTATATATAATGCGTTCAGTACTGTTATATTTTTTGTCCAAACACATGAAAAAAATATTATTTCTTAAAGATTTTCAAATTTAAAAACTTATTATTTTTATAAACAAAAGTGATTTAAATACTAATTAATAGTTTTCTATTAATTAAATGACCTTCGGTCTAATTTAATTGCGATTATGTGGTTTCTGTTTAGGAGAATTCGACATGCGCGTCAAGTCATGTGCGGCTAGCGACGGAGGAGGCCACATCATACAGCTGACAGACGACCAGGGATGCGTGTTGCGACCAAAGATGATCAGCGGGTTTCTGAAAGCTCGCACTTCGGACGAACGAGCGTCGGTTATCACTTACGCGTTTTTCCACGCGTTCAAATTTCCGGACGCGCTTAGCGTACACATCCGCTGCAAAGTGGAAATATGCAGACACGGATGCATGGACCACTGTCAGACGGATGAGCGTTCGGCAGGACATTTGTTACAGCAGCAGGAACAGCAACAACTATATGGCCAGGTGGACAGGAAAGATCAGCAGACGGTATCCAACGAGTACACCGAACAGCTCCAGGCTGCCCCGGTGAACACCGATCAGCCCAGCGCCCAAGCCCAGACGGGACCGTTCGTCGGCGATCAGGTACCACAGGCGACGTTCCAAAAGGTAAAGAACATTGAGTGATATATTTTATAATTGCTCCATTTACTGTAAGTACCATCTATAATATTATATCGTTCTTTTTTTTGTTTTCCCCGTTTACAGCAGGAACCGCCGATAAACCGTGATGGTTTCCCGCACGGACCACGTAACCTGGACGAACCGTCAGCGAACATTGAACAGGCGACCGATGCGATGGTGTCGAACGACACGGAAGCGGGTTCCGACACGCAGAGGCGTCGCCGTCGCCGCCGGCGGTCCGTCAACGTGTCAGATGTCGGTACGGCCGACGTGGGCGTTAGCGGCCTGTACGACGTCATCTCGCAGTCGGACCTAGCGTTCACGCCGGACACCAAAACAGACGCCGTGACTATATTCCAGGGTCGAATCCGAGAGGACGTGGTTTACGGCATATGCATGCCTGTCCACGGGTTCGGCGCCCTATTCGTTATGTTCGCCGGCTCGGCTATCGTGTCAGTGATCGTGGCTGGATTTCAACTGTACAAATACCAGGTGAGGCGCGAAAAGCAGAAAATCATGGCCGTCCAGCAGCACATGCAACAAACGCACGTGACTGCCAGCAGCAATAGTGGCGGATACTTGCACAGCTCATTGGCCGGTATCATGGCGCTCAACAAGCTAATAGCGTCCAAATCCACTACCAACACAGCCACTACTACTACCCAAGCCAGAAGAAACAGTTAGTCGATAGTGTCCGACTTATCGTTTTAGAAGTTTTATCGTTTCTGGTTGTTTTTTGAAATATTGCGAATAAAAATAGATAGCCTCATTCTAGTATAGAATTTAGCCGCATGACTAAAATTATTTATAGATATTTACTACTATCAATTAAATTATTTTATTATTGACTGTATTCAAAATTGTAAATTAATAACTATCTTATTTAGTAGTTAAAAAGATAAATAATATTTAATCGTTATTTATTGTTTTTTTAACATTCTAAATTAATTAATTAAATCGTGATCGAAAGATTGGTGCTCAAAATGACAATAAATATATATATATATTTTATTTTATATAACACCTGTATACCGGATTACCTATGGTTAAACTTTAGTTTAGGTACCCAGGTATTAATATTTTGTACTTTAAATGATTTATCATTAATTTGTGTTATGCGTTATTAATAAATTTATTTATATATATATATATATATATATGTATACACTTATATATGTATACAGATTACCTGTAGGTTTAATTTTGTAAAAAGTAGCGTATAAGAACATGTTATAAACAATTATTTATAATAGAAAAGTAGGGTTTTTTTTAAAAGATACTATTTTATTTTTGTACATATTTTTTATAAATATTTTAGTGTTTAATATGTATAAATTAATCACTAAAATACTTATCGATGACAATCAAACTAGATCATTTTATTAATTAATATTACGTTATATAATATATAATTATTATAATATATATCATATTTTATATGATAATTGGCCAGTGATTCTTAATGCATATTATACTTTAGATACCTAATTAAAATTTAAGTATCGGCAATACGCTCATCACGCACTTTAACTACCTAGTTCAAACATTTTAGTCTGTATTAAATGTTGAACTAGTAGTTTACGTATTATATTAGACGACGTTTTGTGTAGGCATAACTATTGTAAAGGCATCACGTGGCCTGTGGCTATCTTTTTTTTTTACCTAATAGTATAATCGTTATATAAATATTAATATACATATACATATAAAACAAATATTTATTACTTATAAATTACTGGCATGTACAACACAATTTGTTGAAGTTTTTACTTAATAACTTTGTAAATATGATATTAAATTGTAAAACCGTTAGCATAGTGTAATATCGTGCATAGTAAATGATATTTAATTGTTTTGCTTACGAGAGGTTGACGAAATTAAAATGTAACCGTCAATATATTTAAGTAAAATATTTGTATTATTCTATTTGTTACATGTTAACTTACTGTATAAGTACCGAACTATTAAAATTTGGTATTCTGAAATTAAATCATTAAACTCAATAACTTTATTGCTTTAACTATTTTTCACGCTACATTTTTTGTACTAATTATTTATAGATTATAAAAATTATTTTGGATTTTCAATTCTGAACCTCTCATAGATAGGCTAACATTTTATAGCATATTATTATAGTTATTTAATATTTATTATAGGTACAACTGTTGTGTTACAATATAATATAATTTTTACTTTGTAAATAAATAAATAGCAAAAATGTTTAATTACTAGTCCCCTAAAGATACAATAAAAACTAAAAAAAAATTACTTTGGTTCTAGGGTAAAAAAAAAAGTAGGTAAATTATATTTTATCAAGTAGGTCGTTCTTATGTATGGTACAGTACAGTCTACTTTATGTATAGTAATGGTCAATAGACTTGTTAATAATGGACCGTGCATACCGGCAACAGTGTATAACAATGAATTAAACATTACCTATTTGGACACAGAGATAGTTTGGGCAAATGTATGAGATTATAATTATACACGCCTAACCTAGCTCCGTCTCTCTTGCACTTATCTTGGTATCTGCGTGGTTTTTATACGTCATCTATTAAATCAAACACCCATAATACTTCAAGTTTAGCTTCGGTGTGGAGATTAAAAGGTATTAGTTTCACAATGTTTTTATTATTATGATTTGTTTGAACCCACGATTTCTTTAGGTAAGAAATCTATAAATCAGAAATTGTACCATTCATCGTAACATTTTTAACAAATCTAGCAACCATAACTTCATTATTGAAAAAAAAAAAGTTACCCGAATATAATCTGTAATAATCCTAGTTTTGAATGGTACACAACATTTTTTCAGAGTTTAATTTTTGGTTTAAACCCTGATTTTGACCATTTATTAGGTTTTTTTTAACGATTTTGGCTGTATGGGTGCCAAGTTCTTCATGTCTTCAATTTTTAAAAAAACATAATAACAAAGACATGTATGTTATGTCATTGTGAGAGCAATGATCCGTCAACAACCATTATATGATAATCAAAAATTATAAACAGTTTTTCTTAGTGGACCCATACGCTGCAGTCTTGATAGCCTAAATGTAAATACGGCCCTAGACCCTAGTAAAAATAATTTAAACCTACTATTATTTTGTGAGAAAATAGGTAAAATCACTATATTATTTTAAATTATTGTTTATAACATTACACTTACACCATTAATTAATATAAGACCTCTGTTATTTTAATGTGTACTGAATTATTATACAGCTACAATCTAATAATTAATATTATTGTAATTGTAATTGTAAGAGCCAATAAATACAAGTCCAAATTCGTAAATTGTTCAGGAAAAGAAAATTTAATAATACACATTAGTTAACATTAAAATTATAAAATCGGGGTTTCAACTTTATCAAACTATGCAGTTTTTGTTTGCTATTTAAAAAACAAAAATAGTATAATAGGAGTTTGTGATACACAATTTTTGCGATTTAAAGTAACTGTAGTCGGTATACAAAAGCTCTACAAATGACAAAGTGAAACACTTAACATATATTTAATATAATAAAGATTTAAGATAAGCAACATCTATGTATTGCATGTATTTAAAGCTCCTTTTGCTAATTTTAATTCATTATTTAGATAGTGTGGCGGGCCACGGACCCCACATACAACACTGTGGCGGATGCAGCTGCACGCACACAGGCTAGATAGGGCACTCGCCTCAACATGCGGTAAAAACTCTCGCATGTGATCAGTCACCAAAGTGCACATACAAATACCACTTCGTGATCACCAACCGCCGTCTTCAGACACCAACTGGGCAACATTTTGCCTGCATTCGCTACAATAATATAAGATTAACATTCAAAAGTTGTTTTCAATTATTTACGTGATATATTATATTTTTAAGGTACAATTTACAGTATTCGTCTAAAATTAAAATGTTTCAATACATATTTTAGGAATTTATTAACTTAAAAGATCTAGAACCTACATATATGATTATCTTAGCTTTTATCATAATTGAATCTTTTCAGGATCAATATTTTGTAAAAAAAAAATTAATTGTAGGACTCACAATTAATTAAATTTGAAACACAGAAACTTAAATATTAACCGTTTCGCTGTACACTTGTACATGGGACTACCATCATTTTGATAATTAGGTTTAACAAAACTCTACTTTGAAGAGTTAGATTTGAAAATACTATCTCTACCCTGTTCGCCAAGATACCATGCCGGGTTTGCGCCCAACGGGCGTCGAGTAGCCGCTAAGGTCTAATTTCCCCCTCCAAACAACCCAATTGTTCCGAAGTCGACCGATCATCAATAGCTGGTGGTGCTGATGGTGCCACCAATTTTGACCGATCACGACTGTTGGCCGGTAGGCGGTCTCGGAAAGAATTTCATGACTGGGCGCTGCAAATCGCAAACCTGGAAATATGCAAATTGGACCAATTTTCGTTGGACTGCGGCATACTCTCTCGGCGGACAGGGTATATAATATAAGGTTTAAAGGTACAAATAGATAGTTTTTTTTTAATAAACAATTATACAATAAATTAAATAATGTATGATATTTCAAAATAATTATACATTTGTTTAAAGAATATTGCTATAAGTAAGGAAAACAATAATGATGATTAAAAACTATTAAAAATTACACTAAATAATATGAGATTAAGATACAAAATTGTACCTATTTTATACTTCACTAACTAATGCAATAAGACATCACAATTTCGATGGATTACATGAATAATCGTTACTAACCTAAGCATGATAAGCACAAGAGAATGAGAATTTTAGAGTAAAGGAACATTATTTTTTCTTGGCATTGCTTCTCCAACGAACACTGAAATACATGTGCATTGGCAAAAGTACATCAGATTGCCGGAGTTTTCTTTGGTAATCATATGTGGAATGTATGCTAGAATAAAAAAATTATACTTATAAGCCAATATTTAGAGCGAGAGATAATAGGGAATATAGGAAATCTAACTACGTCAATATATTTGTTTGAGCAACTAAGGTTAACTAAACATTACCAAAATAAAACTTGTATGTAGACTCCATAGCCTGCAAATACATGCCACCAGCTATGCATTTGGGTAAATGGTTGAAGGTAAACTGGAATCTGTTCTCTTAAAGATCTGTAAAAATTGGTTTATATATTAATAACAGTTTTAGTGTTAGCTAATAATTATATACTTATGTCAACATTTTACAACAAGTATGTAAAACAATCGATTCCAATTTTAGGGAACAATTAATGAAATTGAGGCTTAGACCCTTACTAACGTCCATAGAGCCCCTGGGTAGTATAAATTCCTACCCGACCAACTCGAAACAGATACGAGTCTCCCTAAAACTTGATTAATACACAATCACTAAAAAAATAGAAAAAAATCACTACTTTTTAGTCTTTACCCTTAAATCGGGGTTTTTTTTACCGACATGACAATTTTACTTCCATTATACAATACATTTAGGATTTTGTTTGTATAAATATGTTTATACATTGACGGTTGAGCACACATTTTAAGAAAATCAGTGTCATTTACAAAGGTTTTAGATTAAGATTTCTATGTTTAAGTTTATTTTTAGAAAAAATCTTATGACGATGATGACTATATTAAGTAAATTAGGTTTATTTAACCATTACGTTCAAGAACATTGAATGCCACCATTTCTCTTTACAATTTCACTTAACACATGTGTGTATCTCCATACATACATATTTATTATTTATATATTTGTCTATTATAATTAACAATTTTTAATAATTATAATGTTAGTTTTCTCGACATTATTACTAATTATAAAATGTTAATGAGGCAAAGGAGAAAGTTAAAGCTATCAGAAATTTTTATCTAAATCTAAAATATCTAGATAAGTTTAAGAGTTATTATCTACCATTTTAATGAAAACTGCATTTTTTACATGTAAATGAAATTGCGAAAAAAATTACTCAAAGAATCCATTTAAAGTAGACCTAAAAGACTGAAATATAAATATATATATTTATATTTTGTTAACATACTTCTACTTCTGTTAACACTAGAATTCTCTAAAAAGGATGCGAAGAGATTTTAGAAGGATCTAAAATTAACGTGAACTTTACAAGGTCAAAAGTTTTGCGAGTGATTTGCACCTGCAGTAATAACAATTCTTAAAATCCTTAATGTTGTGACCACACTATTTTTTTGAAGTTATGTAACCATTGTATAGAAAATATAATATTACAGATATAGTACCTAACTATATAAAAAAAAAAAATTGCTTGGATTTAAATTAGAGATTGTAAGTAAATAGATTGACTTACGTAAGATTTTTGCAGAATATGTTATCAATATTCCACAGGAAAAATCCAAAGAGATATAAAGCTAGAGCAATTATAAACATCTTCTTACAAACAGCACATTTAAATTCTAATATTATTTTGATTTCTTGTACTAATGATATAAAGACTAATACACCATAGCAAGTATGTTGCAATAATGGTTGTGGCCATGCAAGATAAATGATTGCAAATGCAAGACTTATCGTTGATAATACTAATAATAATAATTTATTTGGTAATACAGTCTTAGACTTGGTGTCGTGTTTTACAATTGACCTGAAACGACAATAAACATATTTATTTATTAATATTAGGTATTATTACTTTAATAAATAAGTACACTTACAAACAATAAATACAGTAACATGTTCCCCAAACCATTGGTAATTCATCAAACAGCTGCATTTCATACAAAAGTGTCATATGAAATGCCCAACTGCCAAAACCAACAACTAAATAATTCAAATATGGATTAAAAATAAATACAAAACAATAATTATACAACAAATAATTTATCATTTATATGTAATCCATTAGACATACCCACTATGAACAAATAGCAAAACAAAAATCTAAGAGCAAATTTCTGTTTTCGCATATCATAAATACCCCATAGGGGAGGTATTATCATCATTAAATTGCTTAAAGTGTTCCCTAACAAATAAAAAACATAAAAACTTCCATTAATTTTAAACTATATATAAATATTCATATTAAATATTTCATCTTACATAATTCAGCAATGTAATAATTCACTTCATAATTTTTTTCACACCAATCAATTGTAGCTGTTGGTTGACCCCAATAGCCTACTTGGTTTGACTCACTAATATTCATTTTGTAGTCCTATAACTTTTAAAACAAGAATTAATTATTAGCTTAAGACCTTAACTAGCAAACAAAGAAAAAAAAACATTAGCCAATAATGAAAACTAATTAACAAATTAATGTTAACACAATTATATTATTTTATCTTAGATTAATTGAATTGAATTACATTTTTAGTATAGTAAAAAAATAATTTTTGTCTACAGTAATAGTCTAAAAAGCGTAACATCTGTTTTGCAGAGTGACCGAGTGACAAAACACTCGGTGACCTGCTGTCCTATAAAGGGGCGGGTGGGGGCAAGTAATCGCTTCATTAGGAACTATATTACTCTCTGATATTAAAAATAATAGGGGGTGTCCGTATAGTTGATAATTCACAATATGTGATACTTAGCAACGGTAATTTTTGTTTTAGATACACACTTTGCTGAAAATGGTGGGTCGAATAATTTGATTACAGAAGACACATTTGCTATTATGTATATTAGGTCCTTCTATGGGTTATAAGTTTTATAAATATTTTCAAATATTATTATTTGGTTTTGCGCTCAAACAGGCAGACAGAGAGATTTAAATAAAAATTTCAAACAAGTGTTTTTTTTAAACTAGTTTAAAATTTATTTGTAACCCATTTGCTGAGATCTATCATAAAGTCAAAAATAATGACCACCTTTACATAATATAGACAATATAATATTATGTTATATTATTAATATAACATTGTTATACTTATGGCCTAACCAAATTTTCAAACTAGACCAGGAAATCTAAATTATCAAACATACATCGTTATAAATTATAATATTATATCATAAAAAATAGTTCCATAAGATCAATGTTAAAATAAAATGATTTACAAATATCTTCAAACTTTATACATTATTATTAATATTTCGTTAGTTTCATTTATTTCTAATGAATGTAAAAACGTTTTTTTATTTTATTTTCTTATTAATAAGAATAGTTTAAATAAAAATAGGAGTGAATTTTAAATATGCACTTGTTTAATTTTTAAATTTGGTATGTAGTTGACATATTATTAGTATACTAAAATTAATTTAGTAATAAATCAAAAATAGTTTTTTTAAATGGTTATTTGCCAGAATTGCCTTTTCCAAAATATGGCTCATCATTCTACATTTACTACTCCAAATAAGAAATATTACTTATAATATAATTAATTACTATCGTTATTTACAGAAACCAACACTAATCTCATAAAACTGACAGCAAAAGTTATGTTAGGGTCTGTTACTGATTAAGTAAATATCAGATGAATCGCGTATAAATGTTTTTGATTATTATACTATACTTACATTATAAGATATTCTTAAAGTATATTTCACTAGAATAAAAATACATATTCCAAATGTTGAGCAAGTATAAAATGCATTATAACTGCGCGATATGCTTATTCTTTATAAACAAAAAAAAAACACTACATTTTTTAAAGATTCAAGTGTTGAGGCTAAAGAATTAAGTAATAACTTATAACTAATAACTACTAGCTCAAAAATGTATAAGTACAAGAGGAAAAATGATTAATATTAGGTGTTAAAGAAAACACCTTATAGGAATAAGGTGTTTATTATTTAGGGTTATTATTATTATTATGGATAATAATAATAATAATATATTCATTTAAAATTTTGCGAAATTGTATTGACAACGATGTCATTGGCTCATGCAGTTATACCACCATAATTATTTGTGATAACACTTGTTCCTACGACCTACATGTTTTACAAACTCCTTCACTTTTCCTTTGGATCAGTGAACGATCAGTCGGGTTCGTCAATCTTCACTCATTGCGTATTTTATAGTTTTGTTTACTTTTTAAGGTAATAAGTAATAACGCTAAAACCTCTAATATTCGTATTTTCGGTTTCTAAATTATTTATTTGATTATATTAAACTATTATTTTTTCTTTAAGAATTCTTCACCGACGGAAAAAGAAAAATTTTTGAAAAGTAAAAAAGTAGGAGGAGTATGCTCCTACTAGCTGAATAGCGCGCTCTGGTGGAATCCATACGTCTTTGCTGGAGCTCATTTCTGAAAACAACATAATCGTAAAAGTTGGGTATCGGACGTCAGCTCACGTGCACGCATATCACAGTTTTTGCCGCTCGGCCTTAAATTCCCTAAACAACCGTCAAAAATGGCCGTCACCGTCCACGTATGAACATCGACCCATTTGACATTTATACCGTCCCTAACGCAATCATATAAACAGCATCGTTTGTTTTAATTGATTGCACACTCGGTGCTCTAATGCATATCGAAAATAGTGGTTTTCACAAGTTCAGTTGTTAACGATCCCCAGGCATGACTATCATTGTTTTTCTTATTGATACCTCGGCGTCTATGTGCCAGAGGACCTACATGGGAGGAAGGCCGACTCTTTTGGACATAGCCAAAGGAGCCGTAGAATCATTTGTCAAGGTTTGCACGACTTGTTTTATGAATAACTGTTACTGAATTTATCTCCTTCACATAATTTATGTTTATCCTTGATGATCATGTATGAATTTTTAAAGTTCAAATTTTTTTCATATACCTAGGTAAGACAGAGATCATCAGAGAGCCGAGGTGATAGGTATATGTTGCTGACCTTTGAAGAACCTCCAGCTAATATAAAGGTAACCAAATTTTCATTTTTACTGCATAAAAAAAGTTATACATTTTTATTTTGAATAATATTTATTATTAAATAAATCACAATTTGATTAATTTTTAATTACTATTTATGAGCTTTGTCTTTTATCATTTAATGGTTCAAAATTTATAAAATAAATTGTATCCATGTATTTAAAAGGTGTCTTACCTGTATAATATGATTTAAGCCAAGTCTTCAATCATACTATACTTTATTCAACTTAAGATTTAACGGGTGTTGCGCATGCAAACTTGAGTTGCTGAACAACCGTTAGCACTTGCCATTGTTGCGGTAACCCATACATACAGAGAATCATAACAATTAATAACATCATATTTTTTTTCATTCCTCGTCCCTTATAGTGGTTAAAACAATAACTACCCAGCTTACTGTGTGGTGTGATAATGCAGCTCGCTCTTTTTATACAGTTGTAGTGTTGTGGTGGCCGACGCGAATACTATGGGCGGGGGTGATGCACAGTGATGATAGCTCTATCTTAAGTTCAATAGAGTACAGATTTAAAATACATATGAAATTACAATATATTTGATAAGTGAATTTAATAGTTGTTTGTTTTTCAACTTTTTAGGCTGGCTGGAAAGAAAATATAGGTGCTTTCATGAATCAACTAAAAAATCTACGATGTGCTGAGATGACTACATTGGGTCATGCTTTGAAAAATGTATTTGATATTTTAAATGTTAATCGAATGCAGAGTGGCATAGATACTTACGGCCAGGGCCGTTCTCCATTTTTCCTTGAACCCTGTATTATTGTTGTAATAACAGATGGTGGTCGGTTATCAAATGCATCAAATGTGACAGACGAATTTAATCTGCCCATGACTAATCCCATACCTGGATGGGAAATGACTAGAGAACCATTTCGTTGGGACCAAAGATTGTTTTCATTAGTTTTACGTATGTCAGGCACACCTACTGTAGAGCGTGATACTGGGTTGGTTGCTAATGATACATCACCAATAGATGCAATGTGTGAAGTTACAGGAGGTATATTTGGTTATTAATCATTTTTTATTGTTTATTTAACTTTTTAAATTTATTTTATATAGGTAGATCATATTGTATAACTTCTCAACGAGTACTTATGCAATGTATTGACAGTTTAGTGCAAAAAATTCAAAGTGGTGTAGTCATCAATTTTGAAAAAATTGGTCCTGAACCTTTGCCTATTAGTGATAAAGAAAATAGTATTGATGTAGATGTAGGCTATGATGAATTTGGAAAAATAAATTTTGGAAATATTGATCATATAAACCATCAAAATGGGGTAAGATAAAAATATATATTTATAAATGATTGGAACAAATCTACTTAATTTTTTAATTTAATAGTATTTTTTATGCTAATTTTGAAAGTATTTTGCTCCGCTCGCTAGTCGTTTAGAAGATATTTAGGCTGGTAAGTAAGTACGCTCAGTACTGCAGTGGACTACAAGTTACAAATCAAATTGTGTTTCCCATAAAGAAGCATTGAAAACAAATAAAATAGAAAACTACTATAGAATACACTGCATAATGCTGCATGCATGTTATCTTAATATGCACAAGCTATAAACTTTAAATGACTATAACATCTGAACTTATTGCAAGTGGCGCAAAATGTTTGCAGATTCAAAATTAGCAATAAAAAACTTCTGTAAAAAATAAAGTAGCATGTAATGTAGGTTTATACATACATATTAGAGCTGAGACCTCGAATCAAATTTTTCTATTATTCGAATAATCAAATAATACTATTCGTATGAAAATAATTTGAATATTCGAATATTTTGTCAAATTTATGTTTTTTTGTAATTATATATCTATATAAATTGTTAAAATCTTATTTGTTGTAATAAGTAATAATATTTATTTAGTCAAAAGAATAATTTGTTATAATTATATTTATTTTGTTAAAAAATTATTAAAAATAGATCAAGGACACCTTAGTTGTCTCTTAATTATTATTTTTTTTAATCTAATTAATCCTGCAAAGAAAATGATAAAATATTCGAATATTTCATAAATCAGATCGAATATTCAAATTTTTTTTATTTGAATAGTCCCACCACTAATATATATATATATATATATATATATATATATATATGTGTGTGTGTGTGTGTGTATATATATATAAATTATTTTTTTAATTTAAAATTTTAGAATAAAACTAATGGATTACCAAATTTAGTTCAACCAAATTCATGGCAAAATTGTCGTAAACTAATTCATGTGCCGAAATCTGCCCAAAAAGGTTTTCCAATGGGTTTTTGGCCTATACCTGAATCTTACTGGCCAGATAACACAGTTAATTCATTGGTATTTTTATATTATTATTTTTTAATATAAAATTTATTAGTTTGCAAATAATCATTTTATATATAGCCTCCACGATGTGCTCATCCTACTGTGAAATTTTCTTGCATTAATCAAGAACCTATGGTTATTGAAAGTTTACCGTTTGATAAATACGAATTGGAACCATGCCCACTCACACAATACATATTGTCAAGAAAACAACCAACTCTTTGTTGGCAGGTAATAAATTTATCCCTTAAACAAAAATAATATACACAAACAAAATAATGTACTTCCAATTTGCATCTTTGAAATTATTACAAAAAACCAATTTCATTATTAGTTCAAATTTATATCCAACTAGTACTGTTCTTTAAATTTATATATTTATGATGCAATGTGATAAATTATGTATTAAGCTACATGTAATATTAAAAAGATAATTTTGTAGCATTAATGTTATTAATGCATTTTACTATTGTATAGAAAAATAGACTAACACATACAACTGTTAGCTAATATGACAGTAAGTAGGATAGTAAAAAGTTAAAAGTTTAATAGCAAATATAACTACCACACCACTATCATATGTATAGGGGTCCCAAAAATAGTGCAACTTTTAACATGGTTGTGCTATTTTTGGGACACCCTTTAGATTTGAAAAAGAAATGGAATTTAAATAGCATATCTGGTCAAAGTAAATAAAATTTATCTGATGTGGCAAAATCATCTCATTTTGTATTAACTAACCATTTTTTAGAGAAACAAAATTAAAATTTTATTAAAACTTGACTAATATTTATTTATACAGTGTTGTAGCTATGATGATTAGTTATTCGGAAGGGGTTTAATGCATTTTAAAAACATACAATTTAGTTTTTGACATTTTTTTAGTCAAGTTAATAAAAAACTAAGTAAAATTTCTTTTTCTGTACAAAAAGAGAACAAATTAATAATTTATAAATTATTAAAGATTTTGATTTTTTCTAATAATTCAAATGAATTAAATTTGGTTGAAAATAAAATATGAAATAATTTGAACCACATATTAATTTGCCTAAAAACTAAAACATAATTGATATTGCCTTAATGTGTTAGGACGTGTTCTAATTAATCTAGGAAGTGAAAACTAATATGTTTACTTAAACTATTCATACTTTTTATTTTTTCAAAAACAGTTTTTTAATTAAATTTTTTTCATTTGTGGTAAAATTGTTTTTTGTTTTAAAAAAAAAAGCTTACATACTAAAACTATCAGCTCTGAATCAAGGCTAAAATGAAGTTTTTCAGTGTTTTATTATATTTTTGAATATTTAGAATAAAAACTTTTTTCAATTTTTCTGAAGAAAAAAAAATAGGATTTATTTCTAGTTTTTATTTTTATTACCTATTAATACGTGTATAATTTGTTTTCAGGTTTTTGTTGCAAACAGTTACAAAACCCCAGAAATTATGCATCCTTTTGGTTACCTAAAAGCAAGTACTACACTGTCTTGCGTTAATCTTTTTGTTTTACCTTATAATTATCCACTACTATTACCTATCCTTGATGAGTTAATCAAAATTCATAGATTAAAGCAAACTCCAGAATGGCGAGCTCAGTTTCAAGCTTATTTACGAAGTACCCCTGGCTATTACAACGCTGTAAGTAATACTTGTATGTCTAGTATAATTTATTTAATTTAATTATAAATAAAATTGTAAAATTCTATTTAGCCTTTAAGACGTGCTTTAACCAGAATGGGTGTGCCAAATACTGTCGTTACCTCACTCGTACCAGATACTGCTGACAATGCATCTTTAAGCTATTCTGTACTAAGTTATCTAAAACGGTTAAAATCACAAGCAAAAACAGAATATGATAGGTATGGGGTATTAGTTAAAAATTATAATAACTAAATAGATATTTTTATAGCATGTAATAATGATTTGGGAATGACATTTTTCCAAGTACATAAAAATTTAAATGAAACAGTTACTAATATTAAATGTCATAATTATTTCTTTCTGGTAAAATGTGTTCTGAATTTCTGTTTTTTGTTTTTGTTTATAATAGATTATGCACTGATGTCACTAATAAACAAACTGCAAAAACAAATTTAAATATGGCTGACTATGTACGAATAAATCACATATCGTCACTAAAAAAAGATATATCTACCAATCCTCAGCTACAAAGTATAAAACAACAAATTTTTTTTTTTAAATAAATTATTTAATGTTTTATTTTAAAAATACAGATAAATTTATTCATTTGCGTGAACAACTAATTGATTTCAACAACTACGTAGTAGGTACAGCTAAACGAAAAAATGTTGAATGTAACAAAACTGGTGGTTCTGGATTCCGTAATCCTTTCGATATATCTAGAAGCAAACTTTTGGAAGTAGTAAAAAATATGCAAAATAATTTTTCACAGCTTACTCAAACTAAGTTGTTTGAAGATGGTATACATTATTATTAATCAATATCCTTATTTTGTTATGATAGTTATTATTTACTTTTAAATTACAGAATTAATTCATTCAATGCCAGTTAGTCAAATGGGTAATTATCAAGAATATTTAAAACGAATGACATCTCCACTTCGAGAAGTTGAATCTATGCCTGTTAGGCAACACATGTTTGGAAATCCTTTTAAGATTGACAAAGTTTGTTAACTATTTTTATATAATGTTATATTTATGCTGTTATAACATTTTTATTGTAATTGCTATTTTTACTGTAGAGAATGATGGTAGACGAAGCTGATGTTGACATGGTTGGAGCAGGCGGGGGTTCCTCAAGTCCTAGACCAGGATCTAAAAGGGCATTTGATAGTGGACCTCCGCGGAGAAAACCTGGGCCATTACCAAGACATGTGTGTGCATCGCCTCGCCCTAGATCTCCATCACCTGCGCCTTTCGATCTTGTTAATGCCGTTGTGGAAACTCCGCCTATTCTTTTACCAAATGGAGGAGAAATAGGTTTGATTATAAATTAATATTATTGTGACATTAAAAGCGTTATCTTCTAATTTATTATTCTACATAATAAGCTGTTATAAAAAAACCAAGGTAGTAAAGTGTATATATAATGTGGTTGAGTCACAACAAATTTAAAAGTAGTAATACATTTGAAACTGATAAGTCTGCTTTCAACTAAAATACCACCAGTAAAAACAAGTTTATAAAAAACATTCCTATATTATCTTATTTAAATTCTTTTTATATTATTAAAATTGCACTTAAAGAAAAACAAATTAAAATAAACTTACTCTTTTTTGGTTGAGCTATAGTTTAATAAGAATACATTTTACAAACCAATTTTTAAAACAAATTATTCGTTTTATTTTGGATTTTATAACAATTTCTCCAAAAAATATTGTAGGAACATACATGCACAAATATAAAAATATTTTCAGCTGTATTTTGTAAGTATATTTTGTTTTATGATTTTAGAAGAAGAAATAATACCAATTCCAGTTAATGGTGAATGCATAACAAGAAGTATATGCCTATCACCCCCTCCTCCAATTCTGGAACCATACGAGAATCATTTCACTGATGAAACGGAAGATATTGAATTTATACCAAATGATATTCTTACTAACCATGTTCCATCAATTCCAGAAGAAAATTCTGTTCGGCAGCACTTATTAGCAATAAATACAAATGTGAACCAAGACTTAGATGAATTATCTAAACAGGAGTTGTTAGATATTAAACAGCATAACGCAAAAGTTAGAAAACTTTTATTCGTTGAGGTTAAACGTCCTGGCCAAAGTAAGTTGACTTAACATTTATTATTATTGGCGACATTTGCCTTCTGAACATTTGTGAGTAAATTAAGGTGTTAAAACATAACAAAATATAACATGCTATGTATAGTCCATTAAAAATACACGTATGGTTTTTTTTTTTTTTTTGTTACAGATTACACAGCCTTATTCCATTGTTTGGGTACTTTGAAAGGCCCAGCTTCTATTCAATTGACATATGTCAATGACATAATTGCAGAAGCGCTTAGGTTTAAAAGAAAGAAATTAGTTAACAAATTGGAAGAATTTAGAAAATCCTACATGCGAATGTCAGCTGCTGCCAGGTGATAAAATAATAGTGAGAATCAAAAAAATGAGCAGTTCTTATTATTTGTCATCATCTTTATAATTTTATATAATCAACCTCATTTACAATAATTTATTGAATTTATGTGATTACTACAATTTTTTTTACAAAAATTTAATTGAATGTTATTGTGAAAGAAGAAAAAGACCACACGTTTATGAAGAAAAAACAAGCTAAATAAAATGTAGGGATTTTGACGTTCCTTTTTTCTATTAAAGATTTTACGTCTTCGTTTTTCTAAGATTTTAAATTTTAACAACAAACACTAAAACAGTAAATAATATCTTAAATTAATATATTTTTTTTGAATTTAGTTTTTAATGTTACAACATTGGGTTAACTAAAAATTACTATTGCAACAAAAGAATCAAATTTTTGAAGAGCAGCGTTTATAAACTTTATTTAAAAATTCTTCAGTCCTTAGATCATAATTTTACTTAAGGTGTCATTACACTATGTAATTAACATTAATAACAGTAAAGTAGCATACAGGGGGTCAGAAGAAGCTTGGGGCACTTGGAACCTCTCTCCCTTATAACTTTTTCAATAATAGTGCACCACCCTTTGTACCTGTATGCAGAATATATGATCACGAAACACAGTTTATTTTGAAATCTGTGTTGTTGATCGACTAAGTGATTTATTGATTTTTTTTAAATATTAGCCGTACTCAGTTCCAAAAAAATGAACAATTCACACACTTTTTTATCCTACGGCTCTTGTTGTAACAAGAGTTTTATCCTAGGGAAGGGAATATATGGTGTGGTGATTTCCTTTTTTTCTTCCGCGCTAGTCGGGTGGCATATTTCTTTCTACACACGGTTACTCGCCCAGCGAGAGAAACGGCCAGTGACCAAAATTGAAACCACGGTTAGTGGATAGAAACACTGCTGTGTTAATCCTTGGCCGCGACGGCATGCTACATCCTTAACATGACAAAAAATTAAGAAATATCTGACCCTTACACTAAAAATTCCTTTTTAATCTTTTATGTCATTACAATACTTTTATCAATATGAATTGTAATTCTACCATTACAGATTCGCATCTAAGCAGTTGTAAAAATTCACATAGATTTGTGACGTGCTCCCCCCACCTCTATGCCATGACACCTCTGTACTGGCTTTTTTAACAATTTAAAGTAGGCATGTAGCATATTGGGGGAGGGGGATGACAGGTCTATATGAATTATTACAACTGAAATGCATAATAATATGCTTAAAAATGTATTTTTAGTATTGAGGTTGATTTTCTGTCTGAAATAATTTTTTGTCATAGTTACCCATATACCTCAATTAACAATATAATTAAAATAGTTGCTTGTAGCTGTTTGCTGTTGATTTACTAGCACACAGCAAGAATTTTACCATGGTCAAAGTGTAATTTTTAACTTTTGGTGGTTTTTCCTTAATAAAACAAAAGTTTGACGACCTTATAGATTTTTGAGAAAATTGTAGGTGTAGGTTATAACACTATTTTAGATCTACCTTCAGTCTAATTTTCAAACCTTCAACCCTAAAAATACAAAATATAGAAAATGATTCTAGAGGAAAGGGCGTATGATATTTTTTTGTTTTGTCAACGTTTATACGTTAGTACTATGTCTAAAGAATATGACATTGTCATACAAAATTAGATCTAATTCGACTATTTTTAAAAAGTTATAGAGCGCCTAAATATTAAGTTGAGAAATATGTACATTTTAAAGGGGAAGTGGTGAACTTTTTCATTTTTTGGCCCAATAAAGTACCTATTAGATACGATTTCTGATCTATAGAGTAGCTACACGAAGAAATTGGTTCAGCGGTTTAGAAGATATCGTGGGTCCAGACACAAAAACACATCATTGTAAAAAGTTTTCTGCTACGCATCGAAACTTATAATACCAAATCATTTGTTATAAATTATCTACACATACGCCAGTCGTCACTTACTATCGCTAATCCTATATAGTACATTGCAAACACAGGTCTACAGCGAAAATCGTAGAACATTTTTCAGTCATAAAAGTATATCTGCACATTGATTGTATACATTACATGTTATATCGATTGCAATAGTCTGATTATATTAAAAAAATAGCCACCGTATTTATAAAATAAAAAAAATAGCTAAACGAAATAGAACTGTAATTTTTAAAAAATGGAATAAAATACACCGAATGTTTCATATTGTTCACTTATGTAATACACATTTTAGTGTTAAAAACTCAAAAGTATTGTAAATAACTAGTGTAATAAAACAAGTTCTAATCGAAAATAAAATGTTTACATATAATGCTCGCGCTTGTAAAAAAAATCTTTACACAATATTTGATTTTTTATAATTGAACTTAACTCTTGTACTGTTTATAACTGGTATTTTTTTGTGAAAATAATTTTAAACTCTTGCCTAAGTAACAGTAATTGATCCAAAATGTGCTATGGACCAGAATTTTCTTATCGTGGAAAGCTTTCAAACCCATTGATATAAATTTCGTTTCTTTTAATACTGTATAATTTACTGATACCATATTTTCTATTTAAGAGAGCCTACCCACCTATGTTTTTTTGGTCGAAAACAACTCGTACTAATTTTAACGATACTGAAACGCGTAATCCGATAATAGTTTTGAAAACAAATATAGATTTTTCAATACTTGCTTGATAGATCGATCGAAGTACGTTTTCAATTACATTGTAATTGTAATTTTTTACATAGCATTTATTAATTAACAAAAGAATTTTAAAACTACCACGAGCGATACCTTGTACATTTTTTGAAGGGATCATAATGTGTTTTTTCAAAACTTTAATCGGAGTATTTTTTGTAATTTATTGTTCAAAGTATACACCTATATGTTTTTATGTAAAAATACCAGTATGCTTTATAAAAGTCGAAAAGTAAATAAATATCCAAATAGCGTATTTGATATGTTTTAGTGAAAAATTGCCTATACAATGCGCCTTAATAAATGTTAATGTTTGTAGAGGGCCTCTACACCTGCGTATTTTAGGTCGCAAACGACTCGTTTACGGTTTACTTTAAATGTTCCTAAGAATACTCTGATTTAAGGTTTTAAAAAATCGTTGAATTCTTCATAATATTTTCAATACATCGATCGTGGCACAATATTAAAGTTATTTTTTGTTAATTAATTATTAAATTTTAAAAAAGTTAAAAATTGCAGATTTTTACATTGAAATAATTTTAAGATTGTGATACCCACGATCGATGCATTGAAAATATTATAAATAATTCAAATGTTTTTCAAACCTTAAATTGAAGTACGTTTGAATTATAAAAGTATGTTTTTGTACAAAAGTAAATCCTACATGCATTATAAAAATTGAAAAAAACAAATTAAATATCAAAATAATAATATAATATAAAAAATATATTAGTATATAATACAATATTATACAATGTTAAGTTTTTGTGAAAAGTTGCCTATACAGTGCGCCTTAATAAATGCTAGTGTAGAAGCCCATTTAACGGATACGTCATGAGGTTTAAAAAAAAAGCTAATGAAATTTATATATAAGATGTTGACTGTTGTACTATTAAGTTCAATGCTTTTAACAAAACTGTGGTCAATGCAAGTTTGAGAGGATGGTATAACATAATATATACACGAGTGAAAACATTTATACATGAAAAAAAGTTGTGACTAGCCAAAACATACAGAGACACAAAATATAGATCTAAATTGTTAATATTGATATTAATATCACCTGTCATAATATTATCATTAGTAGATGCCTACCTTTATATTTATTTTAATAAGTTATAGAAATTAAAGAATTTCATTTTTATACAAAAACTTTATATAGTTACTTTATACATATGTAAACTTTATAGATTCAATTTTATATGCAATATTTATATATATTTTTTTATAATATTAGAAAAATATACATTTCTTAGTAAATGTAATTCAGGCTAAATTAAATACAGAAAATATTCAATAACTAATGTACTCTATACATAATATCACTTCTATAAAAAAACAAATATAATTAGTACTAATTAACAGTTGAATTTAATTTCTATACAGAAAAAATCGAGGTAAAAGATAATTTGCTAAGTCTTTGCTGGGTATATATTTTTTTACTTTTCAGTTTTTACAACATAACTTTAGAAATAGAATTCTAGTACTGTTTTACTTTCTCAAATTATTTAAACATATATTTGTAAAAATAAATTACTCCTTGTTTTAGAAACTTCAATCATCGTTCCAAAATTGATAGTACCTATAATGTTGTGAAACGTACATGTGTCGAGTGGCCGAGCGGCGTTTGAAAGAACTCGCAGGTCGCCGGTTCGATTCCCATGAGAGTCTAAAACTTTTTAACGATAAACATAAATAAAAAAACCATTGTCATTTCCTTCTGCCATGATGTGCCAGTATTTAATTACTGTAATTGAATTGTGTGTTTCCTTTCTTGTTTAGAAGAACGTATTTAATGAAAATGTCATCTTCTTGTTGGGATTATTAAGCGACAATATATGTAGTTCTTTCTATACATATTCCATCATTTCCAATTTTTTCTTTCTCAGTGAAATTCTTTTCTCTTTTAGGTCTAATTACAAAATTACAAAACAATATGAATATTAAGTGACAATTGATGGTTTTTTTTTTAAACATTTTTTTAACTAACTTAATTCAATGATAAATATAATACACTTCTCCCGTCTTCACGTCAAAAAACAGGAGAACCAAAAAACCAAATTATTTTTCACTAAAATTTTAATAATTCATGAATGCACAATTAATTATTACAACTACAGTTACGACGTTATTCTACCATATACGTTCGCTATAATATCTAAACACATTGAAGCATTTTACCAAATTTTGCAGTTGTGTCATTGTTCTACCGGGGCGGCGATATGTACATTATATTGATTATGTCCCCCTCTTACTCAAGGGTCTCCGTCCCGGCCCCGGCCCAGTCCTAGATCCAGTTCCAATGTTTTGAAAATTTCAAAATCGAAAAATTAATTAAAAATCGAATAAAATATTAACAAAGTACTATCATTATTAAAATTAGTTTTAAACACAAGTTCTTATATAGATTGATGATAAAAAAGCCAGTACAGTTGGGTTGGGGCATAGTGGGGACGGAGAGGTCACAGTTCTACAGATTTTATTATAACTAAAAGTGATAAAATCACTTTTAAATAAACGCTTCGATGCGAATCTGTGGATAGTATGTTCAAACCAGTTAGGTATAGCGGTTTAGAAGATATCGTGGGACCAGCAATAATGTACTTAAAATTTAATATTTAGTCTTATGCAGGGTGAATACGATAAGGGTTGATCGTCTGTCTAGAAAAATTTATTGTCATACTTACCCATATATCATAATTAACAATATAATGGAAATCATTTCATTACCTGTTGACTGTTGATTCACTCACATATAGCAACCCAAAAACTGACTACGGCCAAAGTGTAAATTTACCCTATTTTTGGTGTTTTTTCCTTAATAAAAAAAAAAAATTTGACTACAGACTTTCGAGAAAATTGTTTATGTTATAGTTCCATTTTAGGTCTACCTTCGGTCAAATTTTTAGATCTAAATCTCAAAAACTTTGCTTGAAAAAGTGAAATGAAGAAAAAAATTCTATCCCTTCTAGGGGAAAAGGTTTATGATATTTTTTTGGTTTGTTAATGTTTATCGATAGTACTATGTTTGAAGAACAATTCATATAAATTTGGAACTTTTTCGACTATTTTTAAAAAAGTTATAGAGCATCATATTTTTAAGTAGAAAAATTTATAAAGTTTTTAGGTGTTTTTCTAGATTTTGATGGGGAAGGGCGAAGGGGTGACTTTTTTTTAATTTTAGCTCTTTTTTTTTCTATGACAATTATATAAAATATAGCCTTTTGTAAGTCTAAAATTGAAAACCCCTAAAAAATTAATGAAACTAAAATTTGCTTTTAAGTAATATAAAACATATCCCAATATTTTTAGACTAAATAATTTTTTATATATAAATGCACTTAGTTATCTTTATTATTCCTATTATTTAAACTAAAAAAAAAACAAGATATTACGAAGTTAATAAAGTATGTCAATTTTAAAGCCTATTGAATTTAAAAGTAAATAGGTATATTACTATCATTGCAATTTTACTAGTAATCAAATAATTAAAGCGTCTAAGCTTATGAATAATTGTATTATGTATACTATTCCTATAGGTAGGTACTTCCAAACAGTACTTACTATTCCAACGTAGTACGTACGCTTGGCCTCTTTGTGCTAGGTTCGATTGTAAAGTGTAAAAGCACTGAACTGCGCAGTTACCTATGATAAGTATGAATTAAGCCGAACATTTATATTTTAAAAGTTTAAACTTTAACAGTTGAAATGCCGGAGAAACACTCAGTTATCGGCTACAAGTCATATTTTTACATCTTATTTTTTTAAATTTTATAACTGTTTCTAAGGGAATAAAGAAAGTTGCATTTAAGAAAAGGCTACTCTGTTTTAAATTATTATTGGTTTTATATAACGATATTGACCATCGTGATCAGTCCATACTCGGTTTATAGAAGTATAGAACCAATACATTTGTGTGTAACCCAGCATGAGTGGTGTAAGTATAGTAAAACCTCAATGCTCAACCCCTTTAGTACCTAAGTATATATAATTTATTATATATTTATGACAAAAAATTTTAAAACGTTTTTACTTTATTTAAAAGAATATTCATATTTATTTTTTTAAATGTTAAAGTACTTATCCGCTCCGAATTTATGGATTTAACGGACATTCTTAGAATACTTAAAGCTGTTTATGAGGTTTAAAGTTTTTTAATTGAATTAAGTTATTTTAATTAAATTTAATTAATAAAAATAAGGCGGGGGGAAGAACGAAGTGATAATAGAACTCTTACAGTAACCCAGTATCCTGGTTTCTAACCTAGGTTTAGATTATTGAAATGGTGATACTGTTATCATTTTAACCTCGGTGTTTAATCAGTAAAATCACATGCTTTAATGCTTATTCTTTTCAAAATATAAAAATCACATATCATAATATAATTTTTCCGGTTGCAAGTAATAACGTTATAAAACGCAAGAATATTTGACTATTTTTATTTTTTATGTATACTTAATAAATATGCGTAGGCCATAGACTTTTTTTAGTATTTTAAAAATGTACAGATTGTTCAAATTTAGATCTCAAATAAGTAACGGATGTCCTCAAGTAATTTTAATTGATAAGTCTCTTTTGTCGAAAATTACAAATCGTTCTAGTACGTATTATAATATTTTACATCGTATAAAAAATAGTTAGACAAAATGTATTATTCATATTACATTATTACAGATTGTTTGTGTAATATTCAATTATATTTTCGATTTCGTTCTACAAATCCAGAGAATTTACAAATTAACAATTTGACAAAAATTAAACAATTTAAAAAAAAACTGAAAAAATTTACAGAAGTAGTACAAGGTCAGTATTTGTTAATTTTGCTTGTGTTTTATAAATACTGTTTATATTTTCGAATAAATAATATGTATGTTCTCAAAAATGCATAAAAATTAGGTATATATAAAAAGTTTTTTATATACTTAATCAGTAAGAATCGCTTTCTATAAGAATATTTATATTGTTTCAGTTAGTAATGGTGTTACCAGTGAATCAAAAATTAAAATAAAACACCTAAAACCAAATCAAGTTCATAACATGGTTGCCAATAAAAAACCGTTGGTTATGTTTCCTAAAAGTGGTGAAAATTCTAATAAGTGTGTTAAAACAATTTCAAAACCAAATAACAATTTCAATAAATCAATATCAAAAGAAGAACTGTTGGAAGATATTGACGAACTACATGATGAGCATCAACATTTGCTAAATGATTCTGAATTATTAAAAACCCTTGCTTTAACAGAAAATGATATTGAACAAAACTTTAATTTTAAATCTACAAAAAAAGACGATAGTTTAGAAGGGAGTTCATATGATGTAAATAATTTGAATCATTCTAATGGTAAATTGTAAGTATACATTGGTATTTGTTTATTTTACAACTGTTAATTAATAATAAAATTCTATTAACAAGTTAGTATATTTTATAAATATATATTTTTTCTGGGTATAATAGGACCAAAAAGAAACGTGATAAAATTATGATTGCAAAAAATAAAGCAGAAACAAAAGAGATTGTAAAACAATTAAGTATTAAAGGACGTGAAAAAAGTCTCAATCAAACATTGCTTGCCTATATAGATTTATGTGTAAGTTAAATTTATAAATTGTGAGCTATTTATGTATTATAGCAAGCCTCGTTGTGGCCACCCCTGGATGCAAAAAAATTGAGAAAATTTGATATTGGCTTATTAATGCATATGTTAGGATCATAGTTTTAAACTCAGATGAGAAATTATAAATTGTATGAGTATTATGTGGGTTAATATGAATTTTATTTTTCCTTAGATAACTTAAATAAATAATTTTGACCAAAACTTTGGAATTAATAATTAAGGATCAACTAATTGTTTTAAAGTTAATTTTCTTTATTAGTTCTAGAATTAATAGTTTTAATAGTTCTGTTCTTTTATTTGTTCCAGGCAAATCCTTTTAAAAACTTGTAACTATTAATAATATTATGTTGATAAATAAAATATTAATAATTGTTATACATATTAATAAAGAAGTTTTAAAATTACAAAACAAATAAAGGAACCGATTAAACTTTTAAACCATTATTTCCGTTGGATTAATTTTTCTACTTATATAAATAAAACTTAAATGTTCCATATTAATTAAATGCAAAAAAAAAACTCAAGGAAATACCTAGAGTTAATCTAAGATCAGAAAATTTAAGGACTTTTTATTCAAATAAGCTACTATCAATATGAGGGAGAGGGGCAAGAAAAAAACTTTTTTTTAAAGACAGCCTTATGTGTTTTTAGACTGATTAAAAATTATTTTTTTCAGGTATGTTGTGGATTTCTAAATAGAGGTTTTGCAGCTTTATGTCATTATTGTAATAAAAGTACATCACATAAAGAGTCATTAAAAATAGTAGATATTCGCATTTTCAATTGTTTATTGCATGGGTTTGCAAATAAAGTAATTAATAACAGTTAATAAATAAATAATTATTTTGTGTGTAATAAAATATGTTTAACCGTTGGTTGAGTTAAAAAAATTTTCAATTTAATTAACAGGGAAATTATGAAAAAATTAAAGAAATCTATAAATTAATAGAGGTATCAGAAATAAAGCCTAATATTAAAACATATGCAGCTGCTTTTGAATGTTTAGCCAATGTTAAAAGTCCAAATGTAAAGCAGTTACAAGAATTATCCCAACAGTATTTATCTAATGTAAGTTCATTGATAAGATCATTAATTATAAACAATGTTTATATTGTAAATTGTTCTTAATTTTGCTTTTATTTTCTAGGGTTATTCATTTAATGACTTATTTGATAAAAGCATCTATGTTGGGAAGCAAAGAGAGCACGTTTTGAAAGCTATACAATTGCTTGAACCATCATTCGAACCACATATCAGTATGGATAACATTCATTATGAGTGTTCCCTTCTTAAACACTTAAATAATAAAAATGTAACTCTCCATTTTAATTTTTATTGTTATCAATCATAACTTATCCTGTATACTAATATACCATTTTATAATTCAGTCTTCATTTAAATGTCCCGCTAAAGGACTTTTTAATGAAAAAGATTTGATTGAATTAGGCCAAAAACAACTAAAAATGGAAATGGCATCTTTAGTAAGCGTTAAATCTGTACAAAATTATTCTACGCCATCAGACACAGTTTTGAATAAGGTATGGGATTTTAAATAGTATAATATATAGTAGCGTTAGTAACTATTTTACTTAATTTATGTTTTTAGAGAAAAAAATTAAACTGTTTGCAAGATAAATGGAGAGAAATGATAAGAAATGCCATTATAAGAGAGCTGGAAAGTATACGTGCTCAACACAATTGTTTAAAAACGTATAGAAATGTAAATATTTATCCTTATTTAAGAGTTTTAAGTACAGAACAATATGTTAACATCATTATCCACGAAGTTCGCCAATTGGCTTTAGGATCAGAAACTTTTAGCCCCACAGTTAACATGTTGCACCGTCAGTTAGCAAATCAAGTTAGGTTGAGGTTAGTAATGTGCTTTTTTGCCATTTTATAATATTTTTATGACAAAGAAAAAAAATCATTTATGATTAACGTGTAATAGTAGTAATTGTAGTTTTTATTATTATTTTAGATATCAAATTGAGTATAAGAAGAATACAAAAATTTTAGAAAAAATTAAAACAGTTTATAGTGATTATTGCTCATGGTATATTAATAGCAACAATGATAGTCAAAATACAAGACAACAATGGCAAAAGTTAATACACAAATACAAATCTGTAGGTGCCGATATAGTAAGTATAAATAAAACTCATTTTCATGTGTTGATCAATAAAAGAAGTTATAATTATAGATTAAACATTAATTCTCTTATTGGTGACATTATATAGTAAACAATTTTTAATAGGAATTGGATGATAAAGTATGGCCTTCCACTGTACTTAGTAGTGTTGGGAGGTTTTTATACAATATTATTATCAAAGATATCAAAATTGATGTCAATATATTGAAAGATAATAAAGCTGAAGAGTAAGATGCTTTTCATTTTATCATATTTAATAAAAACAATTAATATGAATTTAGTAATTGTTATTGAAACATTAAATTTGTAGACATTTGTTGCCAGCATTTTATACAGTTTTTCGTGGACAAGGTCATCAAATCAAGCAAGAAATAAAACCTCACCCTATATTGTCTAAACTTTATCAAGCTTCAGAGCCTGATGATTTAGTTTTTGATGTCACTATGATTCCTATGTTGAGCCCTCCAGTTCCTTGGTCGTCTGTGTATTCTGGAGGTTATATTGCAGCTAAAGCAGATTTAATTAGGTATGTAATATTATTTTATTTATTTGATAACCTATCATTATTTATTTACGTCATTACCATAAAATTAAAAAATATTCTTGTAGTTTTTTTAATATTGCTATAGTTTAAATAAATATATTTTAGTATATTTTTCAATATCATTATTGTTAAAATGTCTTCAATACTTAAGAGGTTAGAGGTAATCAAAGGATTGAAAAAATAAGAATTTCAAAAAAATTTTTTTTTAACTTTTGTCTGTTTTTTGTTTGCTATATATTACCGAGTTTTTGCACTTTATTTCAAGAAAATATTAAGTTTGGACCAAGTTAACTGCTTGATTATTGAACGCTCTCTTACAAATAGTGCTATGTGCTAACCAATAGTATTTCTTAGTGGCAGGGTCGTCAGCCTGGCGCCTTAAGGGTCTCGGATACTAAATCTCTAAAGGGCTCCCAAAAAAAAATTTGATTTGTACATTTTATATATTTTTCACAATTTTACAGTTGTTTTACCTTTGAAAATCCCACACATTGTGTTAAATGCCAGGGCCTCTAAGGCTTTCAGGGCATCATCATAGCTGGGGGCTGCGTTCGCAGCCCTAGCCAGATCGTTCCTGCTAAGTGGTTTATTTAAAATCAATTAAATAGTATTGAAATAAATATATGTTTATAATTTAATATTATCAACATTATAAAAAGACATTTTTATTGCATTAAAATATTGATATCAATAGAGATTCTTCATTATTATTTCATATTAAGTTTTTTTATTTATTTGTAGATTACCACAACAAGCTATTTTGCAATGGCATAGACTGGAACAAACACCAAAACAAGAACTTTACCCAGCGTTGGATGCCCTTAATCAACTGGCTTCTATACCATGGACTATAAATAAACCAGTAATATTTTAAATTTAATGTGTAAAACAATTGTAGCATATTTAATTGTTTTGTACCAATTTTTACAGGTTTTAGATGTTGTCATTCATGTTTTTCGTTCGGGTGGTTCTTCAAAGTTGAGTATTCCTATGCCATCATCTGCTTGTCCATCACCTCAACCCATATCATCATCAATGAGCAAAGAAGAACGGTCCATTATACACAGAGAACGCAACCTGTTAAAAAGGCAGAAGGCTGAAATGTATAGCTTATGGTGTGATGCATTATATCGACTATCATTAGCTAATCATGTAATTATTTTAAGGATTTATTAATCAAAACTAAATTAACCTAAATATTGACTTTATTTTAGTTTTGTGGTAAAGTTTTCTGGCTTCCTCACAATATGGATTTTCGTGGCCGAGTTTACCCATGTCCTCCTCATTTGAATCATCTTGGTTCTGATATGGCAAGATCATTGTTATGTTTTGCCAAAGGTGAACCATTGGGTACAAATGGACTAGACTGGCTGAAAGTAAGTATATTAATTCTTATTACTAATAATATATATAGGTATGTGTTATACCTATGTAACTATATAGACACACATATGTATATTATCTGTGTTTATTACTGTCCAAAACAATTAATAATCAACAGTAGTCTATAAAAATAAGAAATGCCAAAAAATTCAGATACCTAGATAAATTCTAGTATTTCATAATGAACTTTTATCACATTTGATTGACAAGGAAAATTTCAATTTTTCATATAAAAAATTTAATTTGAAAAGATTTTTATAATTACAAAAAATATGTTATATGACTTAAAAAAATAACTTGTTTAATAAATGTTATCACGAAATATCAAAAGAAGATCAATATTTAAGCTTTAAAAATATTTTTTAAAATTGAAAACATTTTAATTAGTTTTCAAAATAGAATTTTTTAAATGAAAAATTAAAATTTCCATGTTAACCCAATGCAAAAAAAAAGCTAGTACAGTGGGATCTTAAAAGCTGCTACACGAAGAAATCGGTTCAGTTGCTTAAAAGATATCTTGGATACAGACACAAAAAAAAAACACATTGTAAATACAATACCTTCTCAGCTATCGCATCAAGACTAAAAATTCACGAGAAAGCACTAGAGTTATGCTAGAGATTTCTACTACGCATATAAATACATGTATTATATTGATCATAAATTTATTTTCTCAATTTTCAATAATATTGATATTAAAAAAATTATTGTTGAGGTTTTCTATAAATAAATTCTTTAAATTAGTTGTATAAAAGAATTGAATAGAAGTTAAAAAAAAATTATTATTTTTCTTATACCATTAAAAAAGTGTCATAAAATGCCCAGTTAATTTTTTTTTTTTAAATTACTTAAAACACGTATTTAGTTTATACTATTAATATTTACTCACAAATATTAAATATAGTTTATAATTATGTACAACTATATTATAGATTCACTGTGTAAATTTGACCGGTCTGAAAAAGAGAAATTCTGTTAAAGAACGCCTTGAGTATGCGGAAGAAATACTTCCAGATATGTTGGATTCGGCAAAAGATCCATTAGGAGTAAGTGTATGGTCTGAAAACTGAATACACTTTATATTTGATATTTTTCTATTAATATTTTTAGGGAAAACAGTGGTGGGCAGAATCAGAAACTCCATGGCAAACTCTAGCATGTTGTATAGAAATATATCACGCATTACAATCGAAAGACCCAACAAAATTTATTTCTCACTTTCCTGTACACCAAGATGGTTCATGTAACGGCTTACAGCATTATGCAGCTTTGGGTAAAGATCACGCCGGTGCTGTGAGTGTTAATTTAACTCCTGCTGAAATTCCACAAGACGTTTATAGCTGTGTTGCTGCATTGGTATGAAGAAAATATATTTTATTTAGAATACAACAAATGTTGAATAATTTTAATTTATAAGTACTTATTGTAAAATATGTTTTTAATAGGTTGAACGAGAACGGTCAAATGATGCTGATAATGGTCATGATATTGCGAAATGTTTAGATGGATTTGTTAGACGCAAAGTGATTAAACAAACTGTAATGACAACTGTGTATGGTGTTACAAGATTTGGTGCTCGATTGCAAATAGCAAAACAATTAAAAGGTTGGTTTTATATATTATTAATCAAATTGTTATAAAAATAAAATATTAATAATGGTATTTTTTTTATATAGATATCGAATCATTTCCTAAAGATAAAATTTGGTCAGCATCTACTTACTTGGTTACAAAAACATTTGAAAGTTTAAGGGAAATGTTTACTTCTACAAAAGAAATTCAAGTAATTGATATTGTTCCATTATCCATTAAAAAATTGTTTACCAATTAATTTGATTTTGATTTGAATATTTATTTAGATACAAATTAAAAATTTGTATTTGAAATTTTGTTGAGAAGAATTTAAACAAATTTCTTGAGTCGTTTCTTTAATTAAAATTGATTTGTTCTTATAGGACTGGTTTACAGAATGTGCTCGTATGATATCTCAGTCGTGTGGTCGAAGCGTAGAATGGGTGACACCATTAGGACTGCCTGTAGTTCAACCTTATAATCGTAAATTTAAAAACTTTGATTATTCAACGAAAACTGGGTTTAAAATGGGAGAATATTTTATAACAGATATGTATGAGTAAGTGTAGTAGTTAATATTTTTTTTTAATAGAGAATATTGTTTAGTATACTATGTATAAATTGTTTTATTATTAGTCGACCTAATGTAATGAAACAGAAAAATGCGTTTCCTCCAAACTTCATTCATTCTTTGGACTCTAGTCATATGATGTTAACATCACTTCATTGTGAACGGGCTGGTATTACTTTTGTATCGGTGCATGATTGTTTTTGGACTCACCCAAACTCTGTAGATGTTATGGGAAAAGTATGAAAACCACTGTTTTTATATATTATGTTAATAAATAAAAGATTATATTTTATTAAATAATGAGAGTTTTATATAATTTAATTAGATATGTCGAGAACAATTTGTAACATTACATAATGAACCTATTCTGGAAAATTTATCAAAATACATGATTGAAAAATATGAACTTCCTAACTCGTAAGTATTAAATTTTGTAATAAAAATAATAATTATTATTTATTAATATAGAGTTTTAATTTCTAGTAATCAAAATAATGGCTCTGAAGAATTGTTGAATGTATTTAAACGGTTACCAAAAAAAGGAGATTTTAATTTAGAAAGTGTATTAGAATCTACATATTTTTTCAGTTGAAAATATTTTGTTCTTTTTCTTAAGATATTTTGTTATTGTTTTAATAGTCTGAAAAATATACTTGTGCTTACTTTTTATACATTTATCAAATGTTTAATTTAATCTTCTTCTATCGTGTGGTCGACAACTTATCAGATTCCTTCACCATTCCAGTATTCGACAGTTTCCCTTCTTCGTCTTGTTATACGACCCATTAAATCTCTACGATCTACAATTCTATGTGGGGCTCTATGGCACTGCAGTATATGGTCGTCTGTCTGGACCTGTCCGCACCTACATAATTGGTCTTCCTGAATACCCCATCCCACTAAATTACTGTTAGTCCTAGCAACGCCTACCCTTAATCGGTTTAACGTTCTCCATAGTGCATATGGGAGGTCATTTCCAGTAGGAAGACTTTCTTTTTTGGGAAACTCCGTAGAAGGAAATTCTCCTTGCCATAATCTAATCCGCTCTTCCTGAGGTGGAACGCTCAGTGGTCCAAAACGGTTTAAAAAACTTCTTCTTGAGCGCAAGCATTTTGGTGGTGGTATCTGTCCGTACATGGGGTGGCGCCCATCCGTTTCCTTCCTCGTTCTTTCAGCCATTGCGCTTACTTTCCGTCGAATTTGTGGTGGGGCGATTCCGCTCAGGCTGTATAATTTATCAATGTTCGTTGGTCGAAGACACCCAGTGATCATACGGACAGTTTCATTGAGGGCCATATCTACTCTCTTTGAGTGTGCTGATTCTCCCCAGATCGGACTCGCATACTGCCCTGCCGAGAAACATAGAGCTAGCGCAGACGTACGAAGTACCTTCGCGTCAGCTCTCCATTTACTACCAATGAGCTTCCGTATAATGTTATTTCTGGCTTCTACCTTTGTTTGAGTTCTTACGCAGTGCATTTTGTATGTAAGACTTCGATCCAAAACAACCCCCAGATATTTAGGGTTGTCACTGTGTTGTAGTATTTCGTTATTCCATTTGATATGCAGGTTTCTTTTTGCTTCTCGGTTCTTAAGGTGAAATACGCATACTTGGGTTTTCATCGGGTTTGGTTTTAGTCGGTTCTTTTGGTAGTATATTGTTAGATCTTTTAGGTATCTTCCAGTCTTTCTTCGATTTCTTTAAACTTCTTTCCTTGTGCCGTTAATGCCAGGTCGTCTGCGTACATAAAATGTCGTGTTACTGTTCCTATCGGTTGGTCGTTCGTGTAGATGTTGACAGCATTGGTGCCAGTACGCTCCCTTGAGGGAAGCCGTTTTTTTGTTTTCGCCATTCGCTTTTCTTGCCATTTAGTGTCACATAAAACCGTCTATCCTTCAGCAACATTCCTATAATTTCTGTTAGACAATAATCTTTCGTCATCTCGTATATTTTCTTTCTAAGCATTGCATGGTTCACCGTATCATAAGCGGCAGTGAGATCGACAAAGCCCCAGTTATTTCCCCTTTTTCAAATCCGTCCTCGATATGTTGCGTGATATTTAGTACTTGACTTGTGCATGATTTACCCGCTCTGAAACCTGCTTGTTCGTGGATAAACCTGTCCTCAACGAGATTTTTCATTCTGTTCATAACAAGCCTTTCAAGCAGTTTATATAGGTGGCACAGAAGTGAAATCGGACTGTAACTTTTCGCTTCTGTAGGATCTTTACCAGGTTTAAGCAACGCTATAACATGCGATTCTCTCCATTTTTTCGGTATTTTTCTCATTTCGATGCAGTTCCCAAAAAGTGTTGTGATCCATCTCACCGTTATAGGCCCAAAATGTTTGATTTGTTCATTAAGTATGCCATCTAGACCAGCTGCCATCTTGTTTTTCAGACTTTTAATTGCAATTTCCACTTCTTTAGTATCTAGTTCGGTTTAATTTGATGAAATATGCAAACACTGATCTTCTTTTACATCTAATAGTGATTGTATTATGCCGTACATGCATTTTTTTCTTGTGCCAACAAAGCTTATAATGAATATTTATCATATAAATATGATATTGATAGTAATAAAAAAACCTCAATATATTCTATGTCATCTAGAAGATCGTATATGGGTAAGTTTGGCCTATTTTTATTATTTGCACAATTTGTTATAAACCAAGCAAATGCCTAAGGAAGGATGCAGACTACAGCTCACTATAAATATTTAAAATCCACATAATTTGTAAGTTTTAAATATTAAGAGGATATTATACATCCAGTTTTCTAACATAGAAAGCATTTTACTAGCTCTGTTTAAATTTAGAGTAAAAAGACATCATAAAAAAGATGGTGATGGAAAAAATCGGTTTTTAAAAAAATTGTCTAGTTAAAAATTAAAAACAAATCTTATATAAACATATAGAATTTAGGCTATTAGTTAATATATTTAGAAATTTATATTATAAAATTGATATTCTCTCCAAAATGTCGTAGGTATCTTTCGATTTCATAATAATTGGTTTTTTTTCCTCTAAAATGTTTTCAATAGACTAAGTGAACACAATTTATGTAGCTGTATTTTGGTTAAAAATAAATAAAAAACGCTGATTGTCTGATAACAAAATTAACAGCTAGAAATAAAAAATTAAAATTTCTATATACTAATTACTAATACATTTACACCGAACTTATAACTTTAACTCAACATTTTTGAAAAACTGCCTAGTGCCCACAGGTACAGCACCTTGTAATTCCTTATGCGTATGTAACATTATCTTAATAAAAAATTGTATACTTATAAAATTTAAGTTCCTGATCATCTTTTGTTTTATATTTTTTATTATGTATACCGAAAAAATAATTGAAAGTTACTTAAAAAAATATTTGTTTTGATACAGAGTTTTTGGAAGGTATTTCTTTGTATAATGTTATATGGGTCAAAACGCCAAATACAAACTGACGTTTGTAGCGCACCTCCCCCCCCCCCCGCTGAACTTTTTTAGACCTTGCCCTGTATTCCTGTTATGATAATAAGAACGTTCTCAAATTTTTTTCGATTGTATCCATGGTCGCATAAAGTATTTTTAGTTTTTTCTTTACTCTTATTTTTTATTGATTTATTATAGTCCCTTGACCCTTCGGCCATCAAAATGAATTATTTAAAATCATTTTCTTAAGTAAAATAATCTCAGCTAAAAATGTGAAAATTTCAAACTGAGTTCTCCATAAAAACGCTTAGAAAAACCAGAAAAAAAAGGTTAAATTTCATAGAAAAGTCGAAAATCGTCCACAGTAATCAAAATAGTTGAAATAATTTTGTGTAAAAATAAAATAATTTACACTAAAAAAACTTAATGCGACAAATTTCAAAACATTCTTTTCATCATATCATACATTCAAGGTAAGTTTTAAAAAGTTCCACGGGGGGGGGGGGGTGCTCTAAACGTTCGTTCGTGTTTGACGTTTTGACTCATTTATATTTTTTATACGCGTAACAAATTATTAAGATAAGCAGACGATCAAGCCTAATCGTATCCACCCCGACACTAAAAATAAAATTGTTTTATTTCATTATTCATAAATTGTCTATTATCTACAGATTCACAGCGTTTTTTTGAAAGTGTTTTATTTACAATATAGTAAGGAATCTCAATTATATTTTGTACGACATTAGAGATAAGTTAATCATAACCTCTCAGCTCGTCCGCTTGTGATTGATAATGCAACAATTTATCACCTTAGAAATACTAACTAAAATATTTAAAAGCAAATATATAACGCGCATAAATTAATACTACAAATATAAAAACAAAAAACTAAATGTTTTAGTCTTTTTTTAAATAATTTATTTTATTTAGCGCCAACAAGAACTTAATAATTTACCTATTTGTCATAGTTATTGCTAAATAAAATAATATTTACATACAATTAATATAATAATAATTTATAATACATTGTTATATCTTATATTTATTTATCCATTATCTACATAGCTATCAGTTGTTGGACAGTGAGCATAAACGTCGTGACTTGTGCTTTCTGTAATAATATAATATTATGGAAGGTATATAGTATAATATAGTATATATATATTGTTGTGGTGTTTTTGGTTATAGCTAATAGGGAACGATTAGGAATAGAAAGGTACTTAGAAAAATATAGCAATTGAGGAAACGCATACTGAATTAAAGAGGTGGGTTATATTGCAATACCTATAATAGTTGTTTCGAATAAACGGCTGTTTTTTAAAGTATTAAAAAGATGCTATTCAAACTCATTTATTTATACAAATGTTTAACATTTCGTTCTATTACTTTTTTTTTAACATCAATTGTTCAGTTGCGTTAAAAGAGAATAGTCGCTATTTCAATACCAATACATATATAATAAGAAACCTATTCACTGGTCTAATAAGCCTAATCAAATAAGTGGACTATTATGTAAATATAATTTGGCAATAATAATATGATTGCGAAAAAAAGGTTATAATAAAGAATTGAAAATGACAAAAAAAAAAACACATAGAAGAAAATATTAATATACAATTATTTATTTGAATAAAGTGAAGTACATTATTGTTGTACTACCAAAAAGTGTGTGAACTCTTAACTTTTTACCTAACAATGCTTCTCGTGCAATGATAGTTCATTTACGTTTTTATATTCATAGCTACGTTAATAATTAGGTAATTGAAGGCACGCAATAATATAAAAAGTTCGAATAAAGTATCACCTATTATAATTATTTGATTGGCTGTAATTCGGGTAAGTAAGTTACCATATTAGGTGTGTATATATCAATCATCATAATCAAATATAATATTAAATACATTTTCACGGATCTCAAGCTTTAATAAAGTATTTCGTTCTAGTTACACAACTGCATCGAAATTCGTCGTCTTAAATGCCTAAACCAAGACGCTATTCGAAGTCGGTATTCGTCAAGACATTAACGCCGCTGACCGTGTTGTCTAAAATATCCGGATTGAGAACATTTTCGTACTGCTTCGATTCGTCAAACATTATGATCCATAATAATTCACTGTGGTACGCTATTGGCAACGTTATACAAATAGGAGCCTACGTTGTAATGTCCAGCATTATGGTCCGTCAGTTACCGAGTCTTTATGTATTCTACTACGACGCAACTCGATATTGGACGATATTTATTGCGGCTAGAATGTCAGAAAAATGGTCAATCAAGTAAATATGAAATAACAACAACGTCTGACATTCGACAGACCAGAGATACAACTTAATTTCCACTATGCTTACAGGCTAATCAACGAGATTACCGTCTACGATCGAAAATATAACACTATGCCCCCTGTAGTTCAATTGCAATCTCCTAGTATGAAATTCTGGCTGACAGTATTCACTTCATACGCTGTGTATTTTAGTTGCTTACATTTTTCTTTAACAATTATGCTATTGGGAAAGTTTGGGTTAGATCATACGGTAACTGGTATATTGTTCGACGTGCCGCGATTTACAGATTTTGTGATTGTGGCAAACACGTGCTTCTTTTTGGGACACTTGGGATGCAGGTTTTGGACTTTGAATGAACTTTGGAAACGACTGCCCGCCATTCTGCTGGTGAAACCTGGATGTTGGACTAAGGAAGAGGTTGTCATGTTGGTCGAGTGTTGCAGACTGTTACACTCTAACCTATCCAATATGCTCAGAATGTTCAGTCTTGCTTACGGACCCGTTCTGATGGTTTTGTTTATGTTCTTACTATTTGACATGTTTTATAATGTATTTATAATTTTATATGTTAACGTTGTAAACATACCTATCATACCAGCTGTAATAATATTCATTGAAAACTTCATTTTTATTGTAACGCTGTTGGGGATTGCCACGTGGACCAATATCCAGGTACGTCCATTGTAATCAAATTGAATGATTGCATATTATTATACTTACCGTACCGTGATATTTATGTTGTATACACTAAAACACGTTTCAATATAGTTAATTCAAGTATTTTTCTTTGATAATGAGTAGTTTGAAAACTCACTACATAGTCATGTTCAAGAAAAACATTTATTTTGTGGTAAACCAGTTAATTTTTGTTAAACTATTTTTCAAAGCCATTTTAAGTTTTATAAGTTATATTAATATAAATCATTTTCATAATAAATTTGCTTATGATAAAATAAAATACCTCGTTTTAAGTTTTAACTTATCGAGAAAAGTAACTTTTGATTTTATAATTCATTAATACCTAGCCTTTCCACTTCTCTTTTTTTAATTACTAATATATAGAAAATTAATTTTTCAGAAGAAAATTATTATTTCGTATTTACGTTCAACTCGGATTATTGGATTACCAGAAGAAATAATTGAACAAGTAAGATTCTTGCTTCCATAAGAAAACGAATATATTAATGATTGTAGGTAAAGCATGATTTTAAGGGAAATATTTTGCAGGTGAATTTTTTTATGAAGCAAGTATCCAGTTACGAATCATATGAAATGTCAGCCTTCGGTGTGTTTAATTATGATTTAAAATTTTTCTTAACAGTAAGTTATTTCATGTCTCACAATGCTATAGCCCATAGGTTCTTAACCTTTTCTGAGTCGTGGACTCCTTTGGAGTATTAAGTATAATCACGGACCCCCCCTCCAAAAAAAAAAAAATAATAATAATAAACCGTTCAATTATATTGCCATTTAATATTAATAATAATCGTAATCTAAATTTGATGTATACAAATAATAACCGGTTTGTCTCGTTGTTGTCTTTTAAGAGGCAGAATACGGAAAAGAAATTATTATTGTTATCTTAAAAACGTTATAGGAAATTTTATTGATAGGATGAAGGAAGGTATTTTCGTGGCATAAGCAATTTCGTGATATAGTTTGTTGATCGTATCGCGTAATTCCCTATTAGAAAATTGTCTTGAAAATCACAATGAATTTTAAAACACAGTTATTTTAACAATCAGTGTGATTTTCAAGACAATTTTCTAGTAGGGAATTACGCGATACGATCAACAAACTATATCACGAAATTGCTTATGCCACGAAAATACCTTCCTTCACCCTATATGAAAGGCCGCTCACGTATACAAAATTAATAAATATACATTCAATAAAGTTCCCAATTAATTAAAAACAAATTTATTTTTGGATTATTTAAAAAAAAATGGAGGAACCCATCCATAGACCCCTGTACAACCATCTACGGACCCTCAGGGGTCCCTGTACCACTGGTTAAGAACCTATGCTATAGCCTATAATAATGTACTTAAAACAAAAAAATAATATATGTAAAATTTGTATTTGTAGATAACAATGACTTTATTTAAGTTTGTAGCCACAATGATACAACTGGCAGAAAACACAAATTTTAAGTCAATTGTAGACGAAACTGTTCGAGTACTTTCAAATCATACTGATACGGTCGGTTAGTAAACTAAATTTCTAAAATTAAACTAGATTGCATTACATAGATTGTATACATATTACATGTATTTATTTAGTAACTATGTGAATATAAATATTTTCACGATCTAGTAAATATGTTTATAAAAACACTAGTATTGAATCAATTGCTTTAGGACAAATCAATGTAGGCCGTACAATTACTTAAATAGTATAATATTTTAGTTTCGATGTGTAGCTGAGAAGATATTCTTAATACAATTATGTCTAGACCAACTATATCTTTTAAATCGCTGAACCGATTTCTTCCAGAAACCTGTAGGAAAGGGACTAAGCCCTTTGGCGATTGTCATTGTACAATAATGATAAAGAGTCTATATAATGAGTGAGTGACCAATCGGTTTGTATAAACAGTTCTTATTTAGTTTGTTTTCAGGTATTTTGAATTTTGTTGATAATTCATATACCTTAAATTAAATGCCACCGAGGTGTAGCTGAAATTTTGTTCTGATGAAATATGTTGTATTCATTAAAAAATCTGTAAACAAAATTCATAGTTAGGTACTTAAAGAGAATTGAAAATAGTGTAGCTTTAGAAAAACAAGCACATATTGAAAATATTGAATTTGGTTTTTGTACTTTTTTTTTACACGAGTCTAGTCATTTTAGAGGTAAAAATGGCTTTTGGGAATAGTGATGGCGCTTTGTAGAGTAATCAGATTTTGAAATAAAGTAATTGATTGTTGTAAAATTACAAGAGTTGTATTACTACAATTGGCAGATAATACAATTTTTAAATACACCGTAGATATTACTTTTTCTACTTATAACTCAACTGATTACCAACTAGATGCGATTTTTGATTTATTGATGAAGGCTGATAAAATCAGCCTTTCACTTCTCAGCTTTATGTCGAAGCTGTATTGTTAATTTAAGTTTTATTAATTGTAATAATTGATACGTGTAATACTAATACTAATTTAGTACACTACAATACTTTATTATCGAAAGATTTATTAACCCGAAGTTCTTGATACATCATGTTATTGTGATCGAGTGAACTGAGATATTATAATTGTAAAGCTTAACTAAACTCTAAAGTATTATTGCCATTTTGTAATAATCAAGTTCATGCTGAAATTGTAGTAAAATATAATAATTGTTTTAAAATTTGAAAATACTAAACAAAATAAATGACAAAATGATTAATTTAAATAACAAAATAAGTATTAATTAAAATTAAAGTATGTATATAGTAACCAATACCTAATGTTTTTTATTGTCATACAAAATTAATCGTTAACAATAATTATTATTGTATTAAATATGAATGACACGCGATTCCTATAATTCTGTATCATGTTTTGACACTATGCATATTATTACTATGTAGCAATAGCAATATTATTTTAGCAATTTTAATAATTGTAGGTAAGTACGTTTTAGCGTGTGCTGATGGTATTTACATCATGACCTATGCAATTAAAAACTTAGTTATGAGATATTGTTATTTGTTTAATTTTAATTATTAATAACAACGTTTTTATAATTCGCCTAACTATAGCGAAAAAAACAAATGTTAGTTCATTAATTTTGTTTTATATATTTATAGGAAATAACATGCAATAATTATTTGTCAAATGTATTCAGGTGTGTTATATTTGTTTCATAACGTGTTCAGTGTCCACTGTGTAGTATAAATTGTGCTTTAGATAGTTATTTAATTATTTGTCGGAATTACCTAATAAGGTAAAATCAACTCTCATATCATTAGTAAGTTATATTATATACAATATGAATAATATTTCTAAAAAGTTAATTTCAAATAGTATGTATTAAATAAACATAATTTGAAATAAGTGTGTTTTATGTTTAAAAAAACAATTGTAATTAAACTTAATAATAAATTGTTATAAAATTAAAAATAAGTATTTTAACGGATAGATTTTTAGAAAATATGAACTTATAAGTTAATACATTAATAAAACAAGAATAAATCATATTATATTCAATTTATTTTCTAATTTTTAATTTTTATTTGATTATTTCTTATAGAGAACATTGAATAACCCAAAGTTATTACAACTAAAAAAAGAGGTCTTACTTAAATGAATTATGCTATTATCTTATAAAAAAAAAAAAAATAATTAATTTTGCTGTTAAAAATGTTCAGATTTATCTCGGAAATTCTTTTCATATTTATGTATTCCACTGCAAAACTCTGAATAGTAATATCGTTGAAATATATTGTTTGTGTTAAAAAATATACTTTTATGTATTAGAACCTATCATAAATTATTTAACATTGTTAATATGTTTAATCCAGAACTCTTTAGTTATATCTAATTAGTTGTAATGGTACAGTTCAGTACCTCATTTCAGTAATCATCATTACCGCGATGCATAAACCAAACTATTATTTAAATTCGGTGTTTGTCAAGACATTGAAGCCGGTTCTATTGCTATTTAAAATATCCGGGCTAGGAAGATTTTCCTACAGTATCAGTTCATTGAATATGATGGTCTACAACTGCTATTCACTGTGGTATCTCATTGGCGAAGTTATACAAGTTGGAGTTTTTGCATTTATGTCGTACTTGGTACTTCAACTGCCCCGACATTATGTATTGTATTACAATTTAGCTCGATATTGGATAGTATTTATTATTGTTAAGGTTTCAGAAAAAAGAATGATCAAGTAAACGTATATTAAATAATATTTTGTGTTATCGATAAGAAATTGATTTCACTGTAAAAGGTTACAGATTGATCAACGAGATAATGAATTATGACCGAAAGTTTTCCACCCTTCCTCCGGTAACACGAATACGGGCTCCTGGTATTCAATTTTGGTTAACAGTGTTTATTCTATATTTCTTGTATTTTGGAGGAATACATAGCTTCATAGAGTATATGATTGGACAAACATTTGGACTAAAATGGATCTTATGCAACACCGTATTTGGCATGCCTCATTTTACAGATTTCATAGTATTTTCCAACATGTGTTTTTATTTGGGTCACATTGGATGCAGATTTCGAGCATTGAACACATTTTGGAAACGATTGCCTGCTGTTCTGTTGATGACACCAGGGTCTTGGACTAAAGAAGAGGTAGCCATGTTGGTGGAGTGTTGTAGACTATTACACGCTGACCTTTCAGACTTGCAAATAATGTTCAGCATCGCGTATGGACCCGTTCTAGTGTTTCTCTTTCTATGCGTAATATTGGAAATGGTTTTTGATATATTTATTATTTTATATTTAAATAATCCAAACGTACCCATCATGCTGGTTGGAGTGATTTTTTTACAACATTTTTTCTGTGTCGTCTCATTTTTGGCACTCGGGTCTTGGACAAATCGACAGGTAATATATATATGTACATATATATTATATTATATTGTGTTTGTGTTTTGTTTTACGAGGTAACCTTATGGCTTACCCATTTACCATTCTATCATTTTTCCATCAGATTACATTTTTTAATCTTGTAATTAAGCTGTAAAATTAGTTACTAAAATAGCATTGACTAGACATCGTTTTGGTAGGTACTTAATATTTGTTAAATTCCAGTCTAAAGAAGTCTAATGATAGACAATTGAATGTTTGTAATCATAACCATTTGATGATGTGCATTTAAATGGACATTGCACTTTTATCTTTATTCTCTACCACCCCTAAGACCGGGAAATATTTTTGTTAATCAACTTTGATCAAACCTTATAACTTTAATATATATTTATCATGGAAGGAAAAAAACATTTTATAATTTAAAAAATTGTCAATGCTAAAGAACGTCCATTTAAATGACACCGGGTCTCTATTATTTGTTATTACAAAATATTGTTTGTTAGGCAACTATGACAACAAATGTTAAATATTGGCTAGGTGTTAATGGGGGTAAAGAAAATAATCCATTATGATGGACATCAGTCTTACCTAGATGACGAAACTTAAAAATGTATTAGGCGTCAGTAGGATATGTAAAATAATTTACTCTCATAACTATATACTAGGTGTTAAATTGTTATAACGACTTGGTATTCAAATTGTTAATAATTCCTATTATAATTTATACCTATTACATAATTACTTAATATGATTAGCATGTTACAATATTCTATTATTCTAAATTATGATAAAACTTTCAGAAAAAAAAGATAATTTCATGTTTACGTTTATGCCAAATAACGGATTTACCCGAAGAAATAATTACACAGGTATATTATGTAAAAGTATAAAAAAGGCCGGGAATTTTCCTATCCCTTTGATTATATACAAACCATAATTTTATTTAGTTATTATTTAATAATTGTAATTTGTAGTTGAAATGCTTTATGAAACAAGTATCCAGTTACGAAATGTATGAAATGTCAGCTAACGGGATTTTCAATTTTAATTTGACAGTTACTCTATCGGTAAGTAAATATTTGAAATAATAAACTAAATTTTAAAATAACTTTATACGTCTGTTTAAAGATAATAATGGCTTTGTTCAAAATCATTGCTATTATGATACAGATGGACCAAAATACATATTTTAAGTGGTTTATAAATTATACTTTTGACATTTTATCAAATACCTAGTACTAATTTATAGAAAGAATATAAGCATAAAAGCAATTAGCTTCTATCAGTTAAATATTAATTTAAAATTTAAGTAAAATAAAACTGAAAAACACAAAAAAACAACTAAGACATTAGGAAAACCTCTCCTGGCGTATTCATTCATCAGCAAAGAATATCACACATATTATGACTTCAGGCGGAAAAGAAAGGCGTACATAAAGGTACAATATTAAGCCGATTATTATACATAGTAAAACGTTATAAATAAAAAAAAAGTGTGGTGACTTTAGTAATGCGACATTATTAATAATGTAAACTGTAAAGTAAAAACCATTTTTTATAAACAATAATTGTATTCATAAAAAAAAAATGAGGAATTTGATGTTATTAACCATTTTTGTCTAATTAACATATAATTTCAAATGTTATTGAAGTAGCGGGCGCAATACGATTGCGCGCGGTCCTTATCGGCGGTACCTTTTTAGGCGTACGATTGCGCGCGCTATATTATTTGTACTTCTATGCAACGTTGCCAAATACATAGGTAAATATCCATACGAATTGTGGCGATTTGTACGCATATAAGCATACCATACATTGTTAGAGGACCTGTAGAAAATCACGAGTTCTGACTGGCTCTCTGACACATGTGATAACAAATTGGCCACAACAGCTGATATAGTCTACGGCAGGTCACTGAGTGTTTTGGCACTCGCTCGCTTCGCTCGCTCGGGGCCGTCGCTTCACTCCGCTAACTAAAAATATCCTAGGTTTGCAGGCTACAGTCTAGGAGGAGGTCACAGGTTTAGTGAAATATAAATTAAACAACTTTTTTAACGATATTTTTAAAATTATTTATCTATGTAACCATTAGCGGCAACGTCGCATCCAATTTCACGCGCAATCGTACGCCTTTGAAGGGTCATAATCGTGTTTTTTGTTATTCCGGCACCGCGCGCAATCGTATACACAAAAAGGTACACCGCGCGCAATCGTACTCCGCCGGAAGTAGCAATGTAGTATTTTCTGTAAAGTTAAAACAAATTTTACATTTAACCACATAATACTAATGAATAGTAAGTAATGAAAAGTGAAAACTATAATAATAATAATTGTTTGTTATGTATTTTTACATTAAATATATATATACATATGTATAGTACATAATATATAATTATTAATTTCAGCACTATTCTATATTGTTAAAATGAACAACGTTAGTCGTTATCTATACACGAGTCTAGAAAAGTGGTTTGCTAAATAAAAATTGTTTATCAACAGTGCAATACATTTTTTTTAAAAAATTGAATACCGATATTTTTTTTATAAAGTGACCGTTTATGGATTAATATTAATTCTCGGATATTAAAGATAAATACTTTTTTCATTTATTTTTATATACGATTACTATAGCATACATGTTTTTAAATGGGCCTCTTAACAAAAAAATATATTATTTATGTATACATTAATAGAATGTTTGATGTTTTTATTAACATAAAGTAGATATTGTAGCTACAGTCGTCTTCTATTCTCTAAAATTGATCATCAGTATGTGCTTACCTGTCTTTAATAAATAAGTAGTTAACTTAAAAGAATAAAAAATATTTTTTTATCAACTAAATGAATTTTAATTTTTTGATTTTGTGTCATTCCATGGTCCAGTGTCAACTGTAGTGTCAGCGAGAAATCGCATGTAAGGATGTTGGCCCATTTGGATCATTGTCGCCACAGACTTCATAATTACTACTGAGATCTGTGTAAAAATGTTAAAATTTTGCTTCACAGCATTATAAAAAAAATAATTATTAAAATACACGAATACATGTTTAGTGCTTTTACATACTGATATAACGAAATGCAATTTATAATTGAAAATACCACACGCCGACATCTCGTACGTTTCATAACTTGATACTTGTTTCATGAAAAGTTTGATCTGTAAAAGTATGTAAAGTTAGTTCAGCTAATTACATCTTAGTGTTTTACGAGTATTTAGATTATTTTGCACTTGAATTTTGTAATGCTTATTAGAAAAAATAAAATCTTATTTTGTAGAATGTTGAAATTAGAACTATATAAATGATGTTTAATACATTTTTTTAATTATAAAACGTCCTAGACATTTTTTAGTATCCTCAGTAGTGAATTTCTCTAAGTGAATGCAAATTTAGAAATTATAAAATGCTCGGTAAAACTAAATAGTATTAACTAAAAGTAGGGGTGTGCGACTAATGATTAATTGAATAGTGTTCAATTTGGAATTAATTCATAATTCATTTTTTGAATAACTCGAACAGTGCAAATAATTCGATTTTTTATGAATAATAATATGAACATGAATAATAAATATTCATTAATCATTATGGGATAATCTGTGAATAAATAACACATCGTAAATATGTATTGGGAAAACCAAAAAAAATATTCATTATTCAATTTTTATTTAATTTTTTGAATAAATAAGCATATTTTTAATATGATAAATGTATTTATGATTCATGATAAATGTATTTATGATCGTGCTTTAAATGAACCCTTCATTATTCAACAGTTTTCATACATTAAATATCAAACCATTAGTTAACGTTAAAAATAGTAGAGAGTTATCAATATTTTACACAGTCCTGCTTAATTAATTATAGTATCATCGAAATTTAAGTTCTTTAATTTTTATTGATTTGCTGTAATAGTTACCTGCGTTCGTAATTCTTCAGGTATATGAGCTATCTGATAACATCGTAAGCTTGCAATTATTTTCTCTTTCTAAAACCATCATAAAGTATACATTTGTAGGTACATTATAGCTGAGTTATAAGAGAATGATTATGAAATCACATATTATTTTGTACTTTGGAGTATAATATTATTACTTATTAGTTAAAACCTGTTATAGCTAAAAACTGGAAAAGAAAATCTATAAAAAAAAAAAATTAACTATATGTGTTTCTTCATAATCGCATAATAAGTATGGGTTGTCCTCCATCGATGGGGTTACCTTCTGGCTAGTCCACGAAGCAACTGATAGCACGGATACGATAAATATAATGTTTTGCGATTGAAGCGACAATGCTATCACGATGGGAAAATTGGCGTGCAAATATAGTACAAAAAACACGGCCAGCACTATATCGATAATCATGTATGTGAACAGCACAAACAGTGCCGGGCCGTATGCCAAGCTGAACAACCTCAGAATGTCGGACAGGTCGGCGTGTAACAGCCTAGAGCATTCGACCAGCATGACCACCTCTTCTGCGGTGCTTTGACTTGGCTTCGACAACAGGTCAGCCGGCAATTTTTCCCAAAACGAGTTTAGCGCACAAAATCTCCAACCCAAATGGCTGAGGAAAAAGTACGCGCTGACAATCAAAACAAAATCGATTACTCTCGGCACGTCAAACAACAGTTGAGTTACAATGTGGATAAAGTCGAATTGGTTGTGCACCGTAAAGGTTATCAAATAGCGAACGAACGAGTAATACATTAAATATGCGACAAACACCGTTGTCCAAAAGTATTTGTTGGGAGTCTGCAGCAGCGAAACCGGCGGCAAGCTCGAGTAGTTCAAATCAAACTTGATAATGCCGTTGATCAGTCTGCAAATATACAGGAAAACCCGGACGATCACTTAAGGTAGTTAAGGTAGATACGAAATTACATTAATAAACATATATGGATAATATTCATACCTATGAGTGTGATAATACAAACGATCCGGTGAAATCGGTATTATATTATGTACGTAAACTGTAAAGTTTGCTACTCACTTTGTCTAAACGTTTCCATTGCCATTATTTAGTAGTCTTTTAGTAACTATACCAATATTATAACCCACATTGATGTGCGCTTAAATTTATGTTTTAATTCGTGGTTCATTAAAGTCGGATTAAAGAACCTCGGTCAGTTAAATAATTATTATTTCTAACGTTTAGGAATAACATCTATTACTATATATATTTATATGATATTATATTGTAGCTTTTAAAGAATACATTTTATGAGAAAAAATTAATATTTTGGTTTTTGAGAGTATCTAGTTTGGAAATACTACCATTTATTAGTTTAAATATATATTTATTCATTTTAAAGAATTCGTAGTATAAAGATAAAAATAAATATTCTGCTTTTTTCTTTTAAGTTTCGAGGCAAAATTAATAGTTTAGTTTTTATAGGTATGTATTTTTTTTTTTTTTTAGAAATAACTGGTTACAAAATGTTTTATTTCGGTTGACTGTTAAAACTTTGCTAAATATTGGCACTTATTAGTCGGTTGGAAACGTTTGTGGTTGTGTGTATTAGACCTCAAAAATAAAAATAAATTTTTTCCGGGTTATTATTTTTGTTAGATGAGTTTTACTACAGGAAAACAAAAAATTACGGTTAAACCGATTATTTTTTTTTTAAACTTGCTGCGGGCCTCAAATTCTCAAGAAATTTCTGTACAAATAAGTATATTAATTTTGGCACCTCATTTATATCCATTACTCGTTGTTAATCGTAGGGTCTGTTTTTTCAATGGCTCCATGCATGCCCCTCTCCCAAAATTAACAAGCTGAGTTCACCCAACCTACGTTGTTCTTAATATTATAATTACTTAATTTTCCAGCTTTCGGACAGCCACACAGCTGCTAAGATGCTCCAAAATCGGATCTGGTCGAAGTATCTCCATAAACTACTGGGAAGTTTGAGAATATTGTATGTCAGAAAGGCACACGAGCTGATCTGTAGTATATTCCCTGCAGCGTACCAAAATGAATCCGAATGAAACATTATAAATTCGGCGTTCATACGGTACGAATATCGTCCAATCCCAAACAACTTTGGAAGGAGTAGAAACGGCCACAGGGTCTTGACGAACGTGGATTTCATAATTGTATCGGTACCAATTGACGACATCGAAGATTGTTGAAAGTAAAATTATAATTGTATACCCAGTAGTATAAATTCAATTGTAGTGCAACACACACATTTTATAATACACTTAAAAAAACCGAGCAAACAAAGTAATAATTGTCTGGCATACATAAATTATCCATTTAGTTATTTTCGGGTAAAAGAAAAGTTTTGTTATAAAATCGACAAACATAATAGAATTACGCCATTTAAGGGCAACAGTCCATGTTGTTAGTTGTACGCTTTTTAGGTGGTAACACAAAGTAATACTAAACTACTTTTTTCAGCTGTTGTAGACTTTACCTGGTAGGTATTAAGTATTCTATCAAATTAGAAAAAAAACTGCGTAAATATAAGAAGTTTCAATTTATATTGTCTATAGTAATAACATATTATTGTTCCAAGTTTTTAATTTTCTAGAACCACAATTGAATAATAAATATTTGATAATTATTTGAATTGTTCAACGAGGTGGAAAATGATCGTTAAACTTCGAGGATAAGTAATTTGTCTTGTTTATTCTTGATATATAAAGACTAAAAACTAAAAATGCAATTTACACAGTAAATTATTTATAATACGACGATAAAGTTTATTTAAGTAGATCTATTACAATTTTAGTCATATATTATTTAAGCGGTTTGCAAGCCAACAGCTAAAAGTTCGAATTAATTTTTGTATTTTCGCATTTTTTTATGCAAAACAATTTGCACACTAATTTGAGCTGTCAAAAATGTTTATCGATTGTCTATGAAAAATATTTTATTAATTTTATATCCCAATAATTATTATGCATTGCAATTAAGCGGACACACAGTTAACAAAACCTAAAGTTTTGAGAGCTTTACAGCAGGATTGTTCCACACGAAGTTGGAACTAAGCCTGGCACCGAAAAAACCCTACATCAGTGACAGACTCGTCAAGAGACAATACAAATGCATTTATACATAACTTACCGAGACTTTATCTATAGATTTTGAAACAAATAATAATAAGATTTGTTTTTTGCTATTTTATACTTGACTGGAAATTTTAACTTAAGATTTAGTTATACTCAAAACTTGCCTTTATATATTACTCGCGTATCCAGTAATAAATATAAATAAATCATAATGACATCCTGTTATTCATTATAAAATCTGTACAGTTATTATTTATAATATTATATTTTTACTATACTGTTTATTTATAAACTTGTATATTCTGTTATTTTACATCTTTAAAACACTAACTACTTCGAGTTTTGAAAATTATTTAACTACTCATTTATGCGATTTTCGTTGAATTTCTATGAGTTGCATTAAACTAGTTTAGTAAAAAGCCACTGCTAATTTGTAATTATAATAAAAACTATTGCAATAATTTTAAAAACGCCAAATAGCAAACACAATAATTATAAAATCCAGGACAGCTAGGATAAGTAAATAACGTAAATTTCAAAATTGTAAATCATCACATATAAATAGATTTATTGACATTATTCTAAGTTAATATTAATTATACATACATTAATTGGGTGGGGTAATCAATGTTTATACAATTACTAGGTTATAATGCTACAAACGGAACAATAAATAAAAAAAATGAGTATCTAGGAGTTAAATCGTTATATACATGGAGATTTTATTATTATAGAGTATGTTTAGTGTTGACTATCGAACTTACTGATAGCTTCGAGTGCGAAGCTGGTGATCGAGTCCATGTTCGATTCTTGACCGTTCTTGCTCAACAGCGGTTTCATGTACGGGACGACGGCGCATATGGTGCTTACGATGGTGACGAGCCCGGCTACGGCCACGGTGGCGACGGCGGCGAGAACGGCTACGGCGGCGGCCACTAACACGTTCTTGATGATGGTTTTCAGACCAATGGCCTTCAGTTTGGTCACCACGTACGTAAAGCCGGCGGCGATCAACTTCTTCGGCACGGTGATCTTTTCGACGATCGTGGCCAGTCCGGACTCCAAGAGCGGCCACAACAGTTGCAACTTGCTGAAGGCGACTTCTTGCGGAGGCGGTGGTGGTGGTGGGTAGTACACGACTTTGTCGATGTGCGAAACCGGCCGGACCACAGTTTTGTGTGCGTAAGTGCTGTCGGCCACGGCGTCCACCGCCGAGTCTACTTGCGGGGATGCAGCTTTTGCCGCCTCCTTGTGGGCTTCTATGATCACGTTGGCGGTGTCCTGTACCTTGACGGCCATTGATGCGGATACGGCCAAAGCCAAGACGAGAGCGAAGGACCTGCAAACACAAAATACAATTTAAAAAAATCATTAATATTATTAGACCATGACTTATAATATTTGAGAACTTATAGAAATCGGGTCTATAAAAATAAAGTCATGATTTAATGGCCGAAACCGATAAATCGAAAAAATGCGTTTAACTCGTCGAGTTTTCGTTTTCGTTACAATATAAAAACATAATAATAGTAATAATATTTGTATAGTACTCACTTGAACATTTTGAAATTTGTTTTGAGTACTGGCTGCGCTACTGGAGCTGTGTGTGTTTTCAAAGACAACTGGAGGAGTGATGTGCCTTTTCGAAATGAGCACTGGCCCTTTTATAAGGGACCTCTCTTGGCTGTTAGGAAATCGAACGACGGCCTACGTACATGCCCGTTCCCCCGTCCAAATTTCCCATTAAAGGGAAAATACATTATTTCGAAATTTTGTATGACGCCTAACATTAATTGACATCGCTATTAACACAACGTGTTAACCGTTGGAATTCGCGGGTTACCCATTACACATTGTTAAATAGTTGTTTACATGCAAATATTTTGGTAAAACGTTTATTATAAACGATTATTGCTAATGGACTGGCGATTGAACATTGTTTATGACACTTACACTTGTACACTAGTTTAACCGTATTTTCAGATTCGAGTTCGGTTATAATTATCGATTGAAATGATAATATTAAATGTATTTTGTGAGATTGTATAAATATTACAAATCGAGAAAATCCGAATATTATTATTTGTAAAATACATCAAATTTACCAAAACTGTCTACTTAAGTAAAGTAAAATAGATCATATTTATCATAAGCAGGCGCATATACTTTATATTTTTTACTAACAGTTATTTAGTTATATTATACACATATAACTTTTTTTTTAACGTGAAAGTAAAAATAAAGTTTATTGAATAGACTGAAAAATACGTTCTTGTTATTAAGGATTTTTAGAAAATATAGGTTTTATAGATCTTACTAGTTAATATAATTAATCTATAAGTGTATAGATAATACCAAAATCAAAAAGCCATTTTATTAATAGATGAATTATTTTTTCTATTTATACCTAGTTCTACAAGTCGGTAATAAACGTAGAGGTACAAATGAATAATTATCAGTTGAGATATGAAAAGTTAAGCTATGATAAAGTTTTAACGAATCATTAATACTTAAATTTTACAATATGAATTAAAATTTTCTGAACATTTTCGAACCGAACCTTTAAATAAATAATTAAACGATTGAATGATTGATTGTTGAAAAATCAATCGTATTTAGTAATAGGGTGGATACAATTAAGGTTGATTGTCTGTTTATGAAAATGTATTGTCATAGTTACCCATATATCATAATTAACAATATAATGAAAATATTTGTATTGACTGTCGACTGTTTTGAGTGATTCACTCACACATAGCAACCTGGAAATTGACTACGGTCAAAGTGTAATTTTCCCCTTTCTGGGGGGGTTTTCCTTAATAAAAAAAGAAGTTTGGCTACAGATGTTTAAGAAAATTATACATGTTATAGTTCCATTCTAGATCTACCTTTGGTTTAATTTTCATACATAAATCCCTCAAACTGCTTGAAAAAGTGAAATAAAGAAAAAATGTCTATTCTTTCTAGGGGATAGGTTTTATGACATTTTTTGGTTTGTCAATGTTTATCGGTAGTACTATATATTAAGATCTATACAAATTTGGAACTAATTTGACTATTACAAAAATAAAATTACGGAGCGCAGTAAATTTAAGTTGATATATATGTACATTACGTTGGTGTTTTTCACTATTTTTAAGAAGAAGGTGTAAAAACTTTTAATTTTTCATCCAATTAAGTACCTTATATTCTGATCTATAGAATTAATACTCAAATAGATCGATTCAGTGGCTTAAAATATATGAGTACAGATACATACAAAAATTTAAATAAAAAAATAAAAGCTCATCAATGTAAAAAAATACCTTCTCAGCTAAGCATCGAAGCTTTAAATTGGAACCGATTAAATTGAGTATGTCACTGTTTAAAATTAAAATACATAATTTTGTAAATAATAGGTTCACTATAAAATATAAATTATTTAATTTAATTTGACTTATAACACATTTAATATCTTATGAGTTATGACATATTATTGTATTTTAACAAAATTGAATATTTGATACAAATAATATACAATATGAATTATGATTAATATAGCATAATTATTATAGCTAAATTTTCGTTTAATCGTGTCGGTTATTTTTTAAGGTTCCGCCTATTTAAATTTTCTTGTTTGAAATAGATAAATACTATTAGAGTAAATTAAGTTAATATATAATATATTAATATGTATATAGTAGAGGTCTCTATTACACGTGTATTCGATTACACGTGAAACCCGTGTAATTAACATACATGTGTAATTTTAAATACACGTGTATTCAAAAAAATTTATTTTTGTTATTAATTTTAGTTTTACGTTTAATATCACATCTATTTAATTATACGAACTCAAACACAAGTATAATTGTGTAAATACGTTAACTCAAACTAAAAATGTTAACAAAATATTTTTTTTTTAAATACACGTGTATTTATAATTACACGTTTAAAATCACAGGCACTAGTATATAGCGGCATTTCATGCAACGAAAATTCAGAGTATAAAATAAAACCTAACACATTATCAATTGGAAAGCTAAATTTGGACCTTTGCTTACAGAGTTCTGGACTACACATTGGAAAAAAATGTTCTACTCGTTAAACTTGGTCTAGGTACAAAATAAAATAAAATATTATAGGTATTTTTTTTAAAAATATTTATTAGGTATATCATGAATATCCATTAAACAAAAAAAAAAAAAGACTGGTCGATAATAACTATCAAGTTTTGAACAAATTTGTATGGATTTATTAGCATTTTGAGAAAAAGGCTGACGGAAAAGCTATACAACTATCGTTAATATTAACAATTATTAATGCTTTTTTTAATTTTAAATAGATAATCATTTATTATGTATATATATATATGATAATGAATTATAGTTGTGCTGATTTTGTATACCTGTAGCTAGTCAGTGAACTTTTACTTCAAGTTTTATTATAAAATTAAACAGCATTCTAAAAAGTAATTTAAATATCTTCTTGAACAATTGAGATTTTTTAATTCTGATTCGTTTTATTCCGTTATTCAAACATAGATTACTGGAATATTAAATTTTTTGGAATAAATATTAATAAAACGAGGTATTATAGAACAATATCATAGGCATTTTAAAGAGTAAAATTTATTGAAAATTTGTTCGTTAAAAAAAGGAACTAAACACTGAATATTAAAATTATTAATTATAAATGATAAATAACCTATGGTTAATCGTTTCGTTGTCTGACACACCATATCATACCTACAGCTTGAATGCACAATTAATTTATATTTATATAATATTATATTAAGTAATATCTTTGCGATTACCTTATGATTTATGATATTTTTATCTACTTCATATGGGGAATGTATAATAATAATTGATAGTAAAAACGGTCAGTAATTTATTAAATTTAAATTTAAATTTATTTATTTTTATTTTTATTTATAATTTATAACATATCATCTAAATGCAACACAGTTCTTAATTATTAATCATAAACGGCTAACAGGACTTTCGAAAGCATACGTTGGTTTATTAAATCAATATTATGTATTACAATTATTTGGGAAAACGAACTCGGTAGTTTCGTTTCCGTTAATATAGAATAATAGAACGTTTACAGGTAATTCATTTATTCCTGTGTTAATATTCGAAGCGAATTGTTGCAAACATCTCGCATTGGTTTCGAGATTGATTGTGGGTGTTTTTTTTGCACAGTTTTCTTCGATGAGTTCACAATCAATTGCAGCATGAGCGTTATTTGACCCAGTAACAATACACAGAATACGGTTTATTTCGTTTTCTATTATACTTGTAATTTGATTTATCTGCTCGTCATCGGGTTCATATAATTCACTTAATAAATTTAGTACGTTGTTAAAGGTTTCGTCATCAACATAAGCAAAATAAATTACTCCGTTCAATGCACTTATAAAACTATCGTGTTCGGGTCGGCACTCCCTGCCTTTGTTTTTATAAATGACTAAATGTACCCAAATATGACCGTACAGTTGTACCCTCACGACGTCCAAAAATTGTTTTTGAAATTCTATGTACGCGTAAGGTTCTTTCGTCCATTCCCCAAAATTATATTGATGCATAATGTTTTCCATTTCATTTTTAAACGCATCAGGTGTATTGCCCCAATCAACAACGAAACCGGGTATCGGTGCAAAGATGGTTTCCGGGAACATCTGCAATGTTTCCAACAGTAAATAACCGTCGTCGATAGGCAATCTGCTCATATTTGTATACAAGTCTGAATTCATTGCCATAATTGTACTCCATATAACGTCCAACGGTAGATAGTTATTTGCTTGGCACGACGTTATTAATCCATTAAGTGTTTCGTTTATTCCCGGTAAGTGTTTTTCCCGAAATACTTCTTCTTGCAACTTTAAATGCTCTAATCCTAATAGTTTTATGTGCAATTCCCAAAGCCAACCGCTCGCTGCAAGTTTCCCTAAGTATAACATTTGTATCATCATATGTACATGATCGGCAATAATGGCCAAAAAATCTTTGAAAAACGGTAATACGCCTGTCAAAGTTACATAAATCGTGCACTGTATTTCTTGTATTTTACGGTAAAGTTTAAATTGAGTAATAATTCTGTTATTTCGTGGTTGTTTGCGGTAATCTGAGGTCAGTGTTCCTATTTCGTCGCTGCTAAATACAATTGGGTTGGAACTCAATGTATCGTACGTGCTCAACAGTTCAATAAACTTATTTGAATATGTTCCAATAACGAAGAACTTTTGCAAATTTTCAACCTAAAAACATGAAATATTTGAATTCGGATTTTCATGGTAATTAGATAGAAATAACATATATTTTTGTTTTAATAGTTTTTGGTAATTTAAAAAACCTTCTTAATATAAATATTTTTTATCTTTATAATACATATATTTGTATTTACTTGAATCTCTTGAGAAATGTTTGTATGTGATATCGCATTGGTTATTTCAGAGGCAGTTGGTCTGATTACAACCGTTTTAGATAATTTAATATGAGCTTTACTTGGTTTCCCGTCAATCTCCGTTGTTAAAAAGAAAACGAGCACTAGTATTATTGACATAAAGCTTAATTGAAGTTTCATTATTATAAATGCCAGTTCTCACAATTAAACAGTAGGTACTCTTAAGTTATGAACTAACAAAGGTGAAGTGAACAAAATATACACGTAAGACAAATTCACACTCCTATAGCATAGAAAAATAAGTATTGACCTATTTTGATGGTATACATTTGATATCTAAAATCTACAAACATGTTTTTTGTACTTATTTTCTCTATAAAACAACACTCTTGTTTGTTCATAATACAAGTGCAATTTATTTATATAAGAAGTAACACATCGTACTTTACAGTATGTTCAGAACTTGATGAATCACCAATTTTTCGATGATATACTACAATTTTGGAAAAAAACTGACTTATGTATAATACTTTTAATTTTTATCAAACAATAATAATTTAAAGTTTTTGTACTTTTTATTTATCGTCAGAAGCCTGGATTTAAATTTTAGGGAGTTTTAGTTTTTTTTAATATTTTATACTAAAAATATTTCTACAAACGTGCGAATTCGGGAGATTAATAAAACCTTTTAAAAGAAGAAGATATAAACAGTTTTATACTATACTAAAATTAATACTGTAAAATGTTCTAATGTAATTTAAATAAAAAGGACTAAAATACTTTTATTTTCCACAGTTTTTTTTCAATAAATCAGAATTTTTAAATAATTTACATAACAGCGTAATAATTACTAAATTCACAGTTTTTTGTACTTCTTATGTGCTGCGTTTCATATTTGAATGATTTGCTTGTAGAGATTTTACAGTTTTTGTCCTGTAGAATTCGAAATTCTAAACTTTAAGTTCTAATATACACTCAGGATTGTTACAAATTATGGTTTTTATTTTTTTTAAGTAAAAGATGATATAGCATTTCTGATGTAATTTATAAGCGATCTATACACATGTTGTAAATTCCTTATAAAAATTGTAGAAATTATTTATGTTACATTTTGCAAGAATAGGGAAATAATCTAAACAAAGGAGATAATTATAATTTGGCCGTAGTAAATTTCCAGATTGCTATGTGAGAGTGAATCAACAGTCAGCAGATACCAATATTTTCATTATGTTGTCGATTTGCTGTTTGCCTATTGGTAACAAATAACAATGGTGATGAATTAATATGGAAGACAGACGTTCAACACTAATCACCCTAATTCTAAAAATAAAACTTTTAAGGCATTTAATATGTGAATATGTCTATCATCTACAGATTCGCATCGAAGCGTTCATTTCAACTTTATTTTATTTCAGCTAGATATATAATAGTTCCTAAAAACCTTTGACCTCCTTGATCTCAATATGCTCGGTTTCCACTATGCCCCGACACTACTCTGCTAGCTTTATATAAAGACATAATTCGGTTTAATTTATAACCGTGGTCTTAGAACTTAATAATCATCAATGTTGAATTGTAAATTAGACCAAGTCAGTGGTGCCGAATATCCATTTGGAGAAGCTGCAGAGAACATACTGGTAAAGCTATTCGATTACAACTATTTATTAAGCTACAAAGATTAAAGTACATAAAACACAAGACCCTCCTTCTTTTGCAGTCGGATAAAAAAACATATATTTTGCTCAAAATATTATTACAAAGGTAATTCAACTATTCGAGGTATACAAATACCAGGCGCGTTATCCGCCGATTTTTTTATTTATTTTATATACATCTTTATGCTACTAAATAAAAAAGGTTATACGTAATCAAATTAAAAAAAAAAAATATATATATATATATATATATGTATATTTAAAAATATAACAATAATAAAGACAATGAATGGCCATTTCGCGCTGTAATTCGGAAGAAATTGAGCAATACCTATATGAATACAATCGAACCATTGCGACGTAGTAGCTATTAATTATTATTATTACTACAATGAATAATATGACAATATCGTTATCGCCGGGGCCTGTGTGCAGCGACTAATTCGTCGGGCGGCAGCCCTAGTTATCACATGACACGAGTACAATAATAATAATAATACAGGGAAAAATCGATACGTCTTGTTAGGTCGACAAATCGCCGACGACGTCACGTTTTCTCCTCCGTTTCCTCTTTTTGCCCAACTTTGGCACTTCCTTGAAGAACTCTTCGTCTTCTCGGTCTTGTAGCTGCTCGTCACCGTATTCGTCGTCACCGATGTCGTCGTACAGGTCGTCGTCCGCCGATGGCAAAACGGCCTGTGCCGTGGTCACCGGCGCGGCGGTGGTGGTGGTGGTGGTGGCCACGGTGGACGTCGTCTGTGGCGGCCCGGACGTCGTGCTTTTCGACACGGTAGACGGCCGCCTCTGTGGCTGTTGCTGCGGCCGGTTGCCGTTATTGTTGATGGCACTGTTTTTCGATGAAGACGAACTGACTTGCACGTGCACCGACACCGAAGCTTCGGGCGCCTCGCGTGCAAAGTTTCGCCTAGACGTGTCGTCGTCGTCATCGTCGTCGTAGTACGCCTGTCCATCCGAGTATTGTTGGAACGTCGGCGGCTGGGGCGTCTCTGCCGATGGCGTTGGCCCGTTCTGCAACCGGTACCCGTGTCGGAAATTCTGGTTGCCAAAGCGTTCGGACGAGAACAACACGGGCTGGTGCAGCTGTTGTTGGTACTGCGACGGCGGTGGCGGTGGTGGCTGTAGCTGTTGCGGTTTTGACGGGAAGTGCCGGGGTGGTTGAAAATTGGCGACCGTGAACGGTTTGGGTAATGCGGGCATCGGGTAACGCTGCACGTGCGACGCAGTGGGCGACAGCTTTTGTAACGACGGATGATGGTGATCTCGTTCCTTAAGGCTTTCCTGGAAAGCGTTGTGAAGAGCAATGAGCGCGGCTATCGTTTCCGGCGAGTTGGTCGGATACGAGACGGGCGGCAGCCTTGTCGTACTGGTTGTGGTCGTCGGCGGCCGCCTTGTCGTAGTGGTCGTTGTCGTCGTAGTCGTCGTCGAGGTCGTCGTCGTCGTGGGCGGCGGTTGGGCTATCGGTGCCGGTTGGGCGGTAGTCACATCTTCGCTAAAGTAATCTGGAGTACCGGAACAGTCTTCTTCTTCGTTATCGCACTGGGCCGGCTCTTGTTCCGGCTGCTCTTCTGGTTGAATACTACAAACATTGCAAACATTTATATTATTATACGAAACTGTCAAAAAAAGAAATTAACAATAAAAAATACCTCTAAATAGGTATACAACTTAGTTGCTCACATTTAAGTTAATCACAAATATTATTAGGCTACCGTGTATTATAACAAGGTTAAGTAGTAATTTATTCTGATTAGTAAGTGTTATCTCGAGTTCCGACGTCTTAGTTTTAAACTATATAAACTAAACTAAAGAAACTGAAAAATGTTCAATTTTTTGTTGTAAAAAGTGTTATCTAGAGTATTGCATTCGTTGCAGTTTTCGACTGGTCCGCTGATTTCCCAAATAATTTAATGAGGAACTGAGTGATTAAGTGTTTACAAAAAAAAAAAAACTTGTCATTGTAAAATACTAATTTATTGTGTGCCTACCTACTTTGTAAATCTCGAAGAAATACATACTCACTTTAAAACAATAAATCTTTAGAGTTGATTTTTTACAAGATAATAATTACACAATTATTATATTTATACTTAGTATTACTACTATAGGGCTGTGTAATACGTACATTATAAATGACGGCAGTAGTAATTAAACAACGCGTATAACACGTATACCGGTATAAAACGAAAATACTAATATCTAAAAGTTAGATATTAGGTAGTTTTATAATATTGCATAATCAAATAAATAGAAATGTTTTAAAAAGAAAAACTACAAAATTGTAATTATTACTCGAGAAAATTAAATTAGTCTTAGTCTTACGTTTAAATGGGTCACCTGTATATTTTTATGGTTTAATTGGAGCTTAAACTATATGAATAAGCATCGGGTTTTTCGCTATGACATTATACCTACACTTTGTACGTGAACTTCAAAAATAAAGTTTATCATACATGTACTTTTTAAAATTTTTATCTTTAGGTCTAACTATGTATGTTAGTATTACCATGGCGTGTCCGATGGTAAATTAGCTTTAAGTTATTTTAGGTTATTAAACCATTTACTATGTACTTTAAAATTCCCAGATTCCTGTCGTATTAAAATTCATATCGGAATTATTGTAAAAGAAATATGATTTATTTCCAAGATCAAAGCCAAGAAAATGGTGCTTTCGCTTTTTATAAAAATAATTATTTTAGACAAAAGTTACAAAATTGAATTTACCACACATAACGTGTAAACTATGACTATTATTGACTAATCGTTTACTGGTTAAATCCTAATTTTGATCAGCTTTACCGTTAATCACTATTTCTGGCACGCGGTTATTTATTTTCCTTTATAGTTGTATAAAATTTCCAAAAAAGAAAATCCGTTGTAATTTGGATTTTCCTTTGGTCAAAACCCGTTTTACTTGTAAACGCGTTTGTTGTTAAATATATATTTCAATATAGTGTAGGTAATAATGATGAATTCTAATTTCTATCCTAACAGCTAAACTAAATAATTATTTAATTTGACAAAAAAACAATTTTAAAATTGAGCATCTGGGTCATCCTTAGTACGGTCAAGGTTTTGTGAATTGACCAAAACTCGCTTATAACAAGCATTCAAAAACTTAGCCTGGGCATATGGTAGCGCTTGGTAACACAACTACTTAAGCCAGTTTACCCTTGTAGTGGTTCATGGCTCTCAAAAACCCCATAACTAATTCCATTAACGAGTATAGCATTCTATGTATATGGATCAATGTATATGGATAAATAATGAATTATGATGTTATATTGTAATTTTATAAACTCAAGCTTATTCACTATGCTCCCAATGTGGTTCTATAAATTTGCACCAGTCGACTAGAGCTGTTAAGTGCATAATATATTGAATGCGTTCATAAGAAATCAATAAAAAAAACACTAGTTTATTTATTGTTTTAGTAGATAACATTTCTCGAGAGTCCTATTCTATTGAGCTGAATCAAGAATGCTGAATGTGTTGCATTAAATTAAATATAAGCCCCGTAATCACTATAGTTGCAACCAATAACTGTCAATTATTATTTTTTTCCAATGTATCACGTTTACCAATCCTCAAATGCCTATTATAAAGTACATAGTTTGTTTTTATCTGATTTTACATAGCTTAGACTATAATGGTACATTGTACTCTTAAAAACTACCACATGAACTATAAATAATTTCTACAAAAGGTACGATTCATTGATAATCTATTTGGCTTTTTTTAAACGTGTATCAAATTATGTAAGGCTGTTACAAAGAAAATGCATTACCCGTAGCCCGCTCCATTGTTGCCATACAACTCCAAGTTCAAGTCGAAGAAGCTCTCACTCCTGCTGCAGTCTACTTCGTCCAGCCGCTCGCATACCCTCGTTTCTTGGTCGAACACCGTTCCGTTTAGACACAAAAACTTGATGTCGGTTATCTCGGCTACAAAAAAAATAATATATTAATTTTTAACAATTTAAATAAAAAAATAAATATAGCGTTTGTATGCTTTGTGCACGTTTTCTGTGGCTTCGATGCGTTAACAATTTGATAACAATAGAAAATATAATTACATGTATGTTTTTTTTTTAAATACATATTTCATTAAATGACCAACAATAATAATAATCAATAATTCAAATATTTAGATAAAATAAGTTAAAACTGTAGTTTGTCGTTAAGCAATTTTTTTAAAGGCTGGAAATATATATCTCACGGCTTACCCTCCTCACTATTTACCACGATGATTTCACCAAGGTGAATTACTTTACTTGACTATAGGTATTAAATCCCGTTTGTGTTAAAAAAGTACATTTATGGCTGTTTTAAGGCTACAATAAGATAACATGATACGTACTAACCAATATATTTTTATAATTTAATATGTTTAAACTTAAGACTAATAACAGCGTATTTTTTTTTTAACATTGTTTGATTGAACATAATTATTTAAATATGTGCACAACTAGGCGGGTAATTGAGTTAAATCGTTTTTAAACAGTTGGTTATGTGAATAAAAGTATTCAAGTAATAGCTGCCCATTATGAAACGTTATTAAAACGATAGAACTCGTTTTTATTTGCAGAAATACCGATACAATTAAAATGTAGGTACGGTGTTATTATTATTATTGCACTTCGCATCAATACATAATATAGCATTGAACGAATCGAAATTTCTTCTTTAGAAATATAATATGACCCACTATTATCCTTTCACCGGTTAATTATTATCAAACTGCTCCCTAAATTGGTATTTGTCCCGAAAATTCATCGAAAAACTCATTATAAATCGTTACGATCAACAAATAATCATGTAATTAAAACGTTTAGTCAAATATTACTTTATTTTAGTATACAACAATGCTGTGTGTTTGTTTTTATTTCCCTTCCTTAACTACGTTTGGTTTGAGAAGCTGGAAAAACCTGTTCGATCAAGTGTATATTTTTTAAAAAGCAAAGTGGTAACAATTTTAGCATAGTTTTGTTTTTTAACGACCTATTAATGAACAGATTTGACCTCATGCGATAGGTTTACTTGATTAGCAAAGCATTTTTTTTATGTAACTAATTTTCACAAATATTTTGGTACGAAAATATAATTTATAACCACTCGGTAATCTGGGAAATATTTAAAGCGATTACATATTGCCTTCTTTTTTTCTTTTTTTTATTCGCCAAATGTATAAAAGTCCCTCATTTAGTATAGGTTTTCAACTACCAAGGTTTAAACACAAACTTGATGTGAAATACTGAAATCATATTTTTGTGTGACCTTAATTGTCAATACTCAAATGACAAAGTTATCGTTTTTTTTTCAATCTTATTCGAGTCATTTGAATAATAACTGTTATTTTATTCTGATCAAGTCTACTCGAGGTAATAATTTTTCAGAAACACAGTAATAATTTTTCTATTATGACATATCAATAATTTTGATAACCTCGCGGTCATTGTTTAAAATGCATTTTCAGGGTTGTAATTTATCGCATTACTCGTACTTCATACATTGAAATCAATTTGAATTTTTTTTTAATATATAAAAATATATAATAGAGTTCGACAGCGACAGTTCATATACATTCTAATAAATACTTTGTACGTTTGTACTGGGAACGGTGCATAATATATTATTAAATTTTACTCTGTCTTTATACAAGTGTTGTTATGATGTAAATATGCTTTTCGAACGGCCAATGCTAGGTATGTTACAACCTTGCTAAGAATGTCTGTATAATTTATTCCCAGTGGGTCACTAAACTGGTCCACCGTCGTCTAGTGCTATAGACAATTTATTTTCACTCCCACAACCATGTTTTTTTTTTATGCAAGCTGACAGAAAGCGACAGAATTATTGCTATTATTATTAGTTAATAAAAAAAACGCCGTCGGTATTACAGTCGGCCGTACAGGGCACAACACGGCAACAATTAAATGCACAATGCAGAGCAATGCAATTGCGCGCTACGGTTTCGAAAAAAATTAATTAAACATTTAGCTCAAGATTAAAATGTGCCCCGGAAAAGAGTCAACGATTATGTAGATTTAAGACTGGCTGATATAATTTTTCAATAAATATGGAATAAATATTTATTATTAATACACAGATGATTAAAATAGATTCTATTTATAAAAATAAGATAATGAAGGGGAAAAAAATACAATTTTCAAAACTCATTTGTTTTTTTTAATACTGTCACGAACTTATAAAATAATTTCCATCAAATTGTTAAAACGGACCATTTGGATCCTTCTATCATCTCCGGACAGATCCCTCTCCAGTTTCCATTCATTGTGCTCTGCTGTACTAATAATATTTGTAGAATTTAAATAATAAGCCGATACTATTTATAATTATGTACAGGGACACAGGTTAATAATTGTTATAGGAAAGCAACTATGCGTTTGACATTCACTTTTTACATATTATTATAATACCTACATAATTTTTACACAAATAAAGTACTTAAAAGATAATGAAGGGTACTGCTATTATTTGTTCTATCGTGAATTCCTCGTAGTTTTGTTGTCGTTTAAATAATTTTAATATGCGACGACTATCACTTTTCCATAGAATTTTTATAATGGTATACCGTCAATAGTTGTATACACCGTATAATTGAGATTAAATGCCAAATTTCAGGTAAACACGCAAAATTAACCTAGACCTGTTTGTACAGACAAATATTTGTAGCACAATGTACGGGAAATTACTAAACTCGTAACATAATAATTGTTATGTGAAATGTAAGTCATCAGTATTAGGTACACACTTTCTATTATATTGTTTATGTATGTTTCACGAATAGCCAATAGGTAATGCAACAAGAAATACGTCAATATATTTAAATTTCCTATTATTTCGTTTTAACTTTCTGCAACATGTTGGTTAGTTGGATGAGGTTCTGTTCGCGTATGCAATTTTGTAGGTATACACTATACATGTTATAATCTATTGCATCGTCAAGCTATTATTTGTATGACAATAAGATAAATATAAAAAGTATAAATTTACAAGTTTACATACTATATCGTTAAAGTGTCTACTAAGTGTTATAAAATAATGTTTTACCATTTTTTTTTTATACAAAGTTAAGAGAAAAAAAGTTATCGTATCAGAAACGAAAACAATAGATTATTAGCTTTATTAATTATATTATATTAATGAAACAGTGGTTGACCCGTTGTGCTCTTACAACACTATTCTAGAATTTGTTCAGTATAAGCTCTAGAAATACGTCGAACATTATACATACATGGATGTGATTGCACAACGAGGTTTCAGCTCTCTTGAAATGTATGAGACCATTTCAAAATGTACTTAGATTATGAAAAAATTGACTTTAGAAGTCTAGTGTATAGGTACTTAAATTTTAATTTTTAACCTTACATAAACTTGTAACGACCGGGCACTCGGCGGTCTTAGGACAGAAGGTTATTTCCGGAATAGAAAATTACCTTCTTGAATAGGATAAAACGTGCAAAACTATACCGTTTTCTAGTAGTACAAGTAGCTGTATGGATTTTACTATTATGTTACGTGGGCGAGCCGCTCTTGATCGACAGTTGTGTACTTGTGAATAACACAATAATAACTATATTTAAAAACACTGAAAGTAACTGTCACCAGTTTTGGAGTGTTTATTTTTAATATTAGATTACTGGACTAGAAACAGAGTGACCACATATTATAAAAGGTGTCATGACAAAAAGCGATGTCCGGATTGGTTTTAGGTACTAATCCGATTATTAAAATTCCAAGTAAGTAAATTGTTTTTGCAAATAAGACGATCGAATCACTCTGGTTATACAACCGCCTTCAGTCAGCTGTTCGCCTATCAACGAAGAAAGTTGTCTCCGGGGCCGAGTTAATAAAATAATAAAAATTATACTACTTCTATTTATTTGTAATGTAGCTCTTACCTTTTTGGCCAATGGTACAAACATGAAACATCTGACAGCCAGTTTCCACGTCTGCATAATAGCCACCGATGACTTTGCCGTCACAAGAGAAGTTCGTTTCTGGCAAATTGTCAAAGTCCAAGTACTGCAAAAACATAAGTTTAATGCGTTTATTAAAATTCAACGAGAATAAAACAATAACTGAATCAGTCTTCAAAAACAAGAAGAGGTCTTTCTCGTTCAAACCGATATTATCTTGAAGGACAACATAATTGACTGACTATAGTGGTATTTTAAACACATAATATAACGCACGTTGGGTATGAAAAGAACAATCTATCACTCAAAAACTGTTGGCAAACTAGTATTATTAAGGATATTTATTTTCTACAGTCCGGATCTATAATGTTTTTTTTTTATAGTTATTGTAAATAAACACACATTAAATATAATAGTCAAGTTGAAATCGTAGACATATTATATTATACAACAAATTGCCTATGAATAAATATATAACAATATAGAGATAACACAGTAGCAAGACTAGACGATTAGTTATTTATATTATTTGAAATTAATAGGATTATTATTATTTTAAAAAGCGATTTAGGTCTTCTGTGCAATAAAAAGACGTTTTACGATAGAAAAATGAACAAAAAGTTTTTCAGTAAGTATGGCATATCAAAATATTTATAATTTCGCATATTCTAGTCGAAAATCTGATTAGCCGGTAATGGAATTTACATAAGTAATTTTAAATTACGCGATTTAAGTTTGAATTGTGGTCTGTACGCCTACATTTTACGGTGGTTTTAATGTGGACAAATCAATGGACGATTTATATTTAATTATGGCGTTTAAAATCAGCAAGAAATATGTTTACTTTGTGGGTTATTTTGATGCAAATCTAATGCTTGCCTAACAAGTTCTTGGAGGAAAGCAAGAGAAAAAATTCTTTCTCTTTGAACAGTCACCTCACACCTGATCAGAGAAAGAACCGGCAAGTGGCCGAGATGCCGGTACGGTAATCATGTGTTACATCACTATACTCGATTAAAAACATACAAAGAGTTGAAAAATGCTGGTCAATTTTTTTTTATCAAAGTATCAATTGGAATATTTTGTATTATGAATGTAGGTATGCATTGGAGAGTTTTAACATTCTACTAGCCAACAGATAACCGCATCGACTTGCTAATTTTCATATGTATGTGATATACAAAACCAGTTTTGTGTACAAATGTACTAAATGCTTAACAGCAGCAATACACGCATGAATGCACTAAAAGTATTAGTCTAAGAGGGAGTTTGGTATTTAAATCAATGTAGATTAAGGTTAGGCCAAAACGATTATTGTGATTAATTTCCATGAACTTGGCAAAAAAAATTATACCTCTAGTGATATAATATGTTTAAATAATAGAGCAATTATCTGCAAAACGCTTGAATCCATGAAGGTTAGGTTAGAAAGTCACGCTTAATATTTAATACATAGTATTAGTAGGCCGGCGAGATAAAAAAAAAATTATAAATATTAGCTTAGCCTTGACTATGGCTCTGAAATATAAAGGCTTTCTGGGGTTAGTGGAGCACGACTTCTGTCTTATACATACAAGTAATTTTCATGTTTAATTACCACTGTTATTTCAATATAATATGTTAATAATAAATATACTTTGACAGCTGAGACCGATAAAAATCTAGCAGCAAGACAACTATATTAATTATTTTGTAATGAAAAAAAAACGGTCGTTTGTTTCTTGATAAATGTTTTAATAGACATTGTTTAAATCCAAAACCAGTAATTACTTAAGTTTCAGCGAATCCCGGCAAATCCCACTTATTTACTTTTTTTAACAAGAAACGTTTGGTAATTGTGATATTTTTTAAAAATCAATTTTATAAGCTGAATTTTATTAGAAATCACTAATTTATTTGTTAAATTGTAACTTTCAAAATTATTTTCCATAAAAACTATGAAATAATATAATTATTTTGAAAAGATTCAAATACACTTTTACAACTATTTAATTATTTGTGTTAAACAATTCGTTCAATGTAGATTACAGGAAATCTTACTTTTAACTAAATACTGTTAAAAATATTTTTAATGGTAATTTCGGTATACTTTCACTTTAGCTAAACAAAAAAAAAATGCACTAACTTCACAGAGGGAGCTGTAAAAACTAACTAATGCATACCACCTTCTTGCCAACAACTAGATTCTAATAAAAACCTAATCATTTACAAATTGAATACATATTATACAAAATAATAATCGTTATAATCGTAATTTGTGTGCAACGCTAAACCAACGAAATGATAATTGGAAAAATAATTTTTTTAAAAGGGTTACTAGTTAAATTAAATTCTTACAAGCGGGCTGAGTGAAATTTCGCAATCAAATAATAAGTCATTGTTATCATTAGGAATTTAAAATTTTGATTGTTACTGCTTTTTTTTTTTTACCGAATTCAGAACAAAGACAATCACGATATGACTTTTGTTTTTTGAAAAGACGGCAATACTAAAAATTGTGTTAAAATCATTATGTCAACGTTTGTATGCGCGCAACGGGTATATAATCATAAGCATTAACGAGTTTGGTCCGTATGTGTGTCCTAGTTATGCAATCAGTAATGAAATATATATATATTTTTTTAAGTATGCTGCTATGCCCTAAGTGTTTGAATAGATGCCTACTGATCCATTTTCGGGGCGCTAATAACAACAACCGGTCATTTGCTTTTCATTCGTTTACGATTACGTTGCCACAGCCTGCCGTAAAAATAAAATAATTATAATAAAGTTTTGAGCACTAACGAATTAGTTTTTTGTATGTTATATTAAAAAGATAACGAATTTCGTTAACGTTTATGATGTAATGCTCTTAATTCCTTAACCGGTACTGTAGAGCGAAAGAAAATACAAATAGATTGCTCGATGGATTTAGTTTGCTCGTTATTGGGAAAACTTATTTGAACGGATGCCTACTGAATTTAAATAATTTATATATATATATATATATATATATTATGTGTATAATAATTAATAACTTCAATCTGATAATGTACTTTCGATCATTTAATCATAACAACATAAATGTATACTTACTCCTGGTTGCACGGCGAAAGTGTAAATATTGGCGGCATTCCACCAGCAATTACAGTTCCATAGCACAGCTGAAAAAAAAAATTAAAAAACTAATTATTAATGAAATTCGCATAATATAGAAAGCAGAATTCAGTTTGAAATACATCTCAATTCCACCCGTCGGTCAATTTTTTTTTTTTATCTCATTTAAACAAATGCAATATAATATCATCAGCCATTAATGTTAGCTGTTGGTATTTATTTTCTCTATTTTTTAATATATTTAAAATTTTATTAATAAACAAAAACCTTTTTTATTCAATTATAACACCTTTATGTATACATTTAATATTATTAGGTGGCAGAGTTAGTGCAATGAAATTAATTGGAGCTGAGAACTGCCAATGTGTGATAGAATTATATACTCTGGAGAAACGGGATGAAAGGGAGAAAAGGTTATGTCCTAACCGGGAAAAGGCCGAAACAGGCATAAGTGAACAATAAGGTTTTTTTTCCATTCTCGAGATTTAAGCGTTTTTTGGCCGAGTTTTGACTTGGATGACTTTAACGCCGGTTGTTGGGTAATAATTCACCTGAGCAGATCAGATCTGGTAAAAGATTAAACAAGACCAATATACACATATTATTATAAGTGACGTGATGCTGTTCACGTACAGACATAACATCGACGTTCGACTACGATAACGTTTTCAAAGCCGGTTTGTGATTTTGTGTTGTATAACGGTCATAAAAATTATATCATGTTTATATTGTGCGGTATCGATTGATCGCACACGGTAAACCTTAACTTGAGACCGCGATCACAATGAGTTTTTGTTTTTTAACAGATGCAACTAGGTCACGGGTGCGCGGTATGCGACAACGAAAAACTACAAAATTACACAGTCATAACGATAACGACCGTCATAATCAATAATATTATGTCAACCCCTCTCTCGTACAGTGTACACACACACATACAAAGACGGTAAAGTAGAGGTTGATGCAAATAAAAAAAAAAAAAGTTGCAAGGAAAACGTTTTATGAAAATATATTCGCAGTGAGTGCAAAACGTCGAATGATAATTTTGAATCCGAGGTTTAGACGTTTTAAGTTTACAGTTTAAAACTAGTTTGAATGTGAAACAAAATAGTTCAATATTGATTTGGTTATGGTTTCAATTTTCTGCTCGTTTGTGGCAAAATATAGGCTATAAAATCGAATGTAAAAAATTATGTTTAAAATATATACTCCAATTAGATATGTCACCCTTTTCAGAATAATTGATATGATGTTTAACCTGTTATTATTTTGTTGTCATTGTTACCGGCTGTATCCAGTGGCGTCATTTGGGAGGAGGCAGGGTAGGCATTTGACCCTCTCCCTCGTGTCATTCTTATTATCAATACCTACATATTTATATTTTTACTATCTACAATTCACATCAAAGCGTTTATTTGAAAGTGATTATGTCACTCAGCCATCATGTTTGTGATTGGTTTGCATTAATTTTTGCTTAGATTTGCGAACGAGCTTGGTCAACGCTTATTAAGCGACTGTAATAATATACTATTGCCTTAACTTCTTCCGTTTTTCTTTCCTCTAACCCTAATTATATTTATCATAATCGTTTGTATTTAAATGCATTTCTTAAACACTATCGATCAAATAAAATTATGATACATAATAATATGACTTTCATTCAAATCTACCCCATCTTCTAATGACACTTTTTACGAAATAAGATCATAGCCGACGCGTGAACATTCCATGTTGGAATGTTAGTTATTACTATTATCAGTGTACAGTGTACCTTCCACACCTGTCTCCACTATGTGTCTAATTAAAATTTATAGACAACGGTATTTTTTGGTTTTTTCTTTTACATCATAATCGATGATCTTGGACTTTGGTTTCGATTTCCGATCCTCCATTTGAAGATTACTCTTCTTATATATTCTACTGCCAAACTACGCGGTTAGCAGACTGAACGGAATGGCACATAGTTATAATATAGGTCTATCCGACAATAATTTCTTTGGTAGTCATTATCCAGATATCACTCAGAGACGTTTACACGCCGTTATTGTTAGCTCTATATTATTATAATTATTATAATGTCACTTCCATATACGTAACAAGTCTTTGAGTTGATAAACAACAACTCTAAATAATTGTTATGTGTATGTCCACTGTTGTTACGTACAAACCAATCATAATATAGAAGCTGATATCTTTCGTTATTGTAAATTATGTGCTTAGCACGAAAGCAATTACCCATAAGTCTAAACCATTCAGCGCGTTTAATATTATGGGTTTGTTGTGCCGTTCAGACGGTTTTTAATTATTCCAAAAAGAAAATAATAATTGGCAACTCATAAATCGTTATTTCTCTCGGTTCGCTCCAGTTATAATGTACGATCGACGTTTAAGGAAAACAAATTTATTTATTATTATTATAGCAGTTCAATTTAACGTCGACCGAGTAAACCTACGAGGCGAGCAAACGAAGGCCCTTGGGTATCAACTGTTTATTACAGACAACTGCGTAAAAACATATTAAAATAATAAATAGCGTGCAACTTTATACTGAACACACACATTTCGCAATTACTGGTTTCGCTAAAAAAAAATTCTAATTAGACATTTTTAAACCACAATAGTTTTAAGAACATAAATGTTTCTCAGTAAATATTATTGGTCAACTAAGTAGACGATGTAGACGAAGTATTATTTGCATAATAAGAAAATAAATTGAAATATGGTGCAATTTTTTTTTTGGAATACCTTATAAGTGTTTAAAATTGTGTTTTCCTTGATTGTGTATTACATTATAATGAGCTGAAATGTACTCAACAGCTATTTTTAAATGTTCAATTTCGTTTAAATAATGTCGGTATTTATTTCTATTATTTTGTCGAATAACCTAATCTATTTCGCAAGCAATATAGCAGTTAGTTCACGTCACATATGAAAATACTTAATGAACGTTTTTTAAGTAATCCGTGAGTTTTTTCTGTGACTGAATTTAAATTATACATTTAGCGTTCTCTATCATAGTACTAAATTGTTTTTTTCTACTGAAATTACTGTCAATGTAATGTATGCTTTATTAAATTATTGTCTTAAAGTTTAGAATTTGACTTATAAATGTAACTAAAAATTGTTTTGGATATCCACACAGTGTCTTTAACTAAAATTTTACTACCTCTTAACTCTTATACCTATTACCTACTGATGTTGTCATAACCCCAATGTATTTTATGTATTATGAACTCCATATTATATCATAATATATTATTTATTTATTAGTTATTCTTAAAGAGGAAAACTATGCATTTTATAGACCATTATGTCTTCATAAAATTAATGATTAGTTTTTTTGAGAAATGTAAATATTTCAAGTAAAATGATTGTACCTAAGGATTAAGTATATTCGATCAATTGATAAATGCTAATGAATTACACTTATTAGAAAGAGGATACATACAAATTTACATAAAAAAAATGCAGTAAAATATTATTATAAATATTTGTCTGAACTATTAACTCATAACTATATTCTGTTTTCAGAATAGTATAAACCTCGATTGAAGGCATTGTAATTTTCGCTTTACACATATACAATAACAACACTAATATTAATGTCTAATATATCTGATAGAGTAATGTCTATGTCATTATTTGTAATTGTATATACTTTAATGTACGTCTGAGTACCTGGCTGTTAAAATCACATCAAATTTGATCAATATTGGAAATGTAGATCATGAATTGTTGGGCCGTAGTAGTGTAACATAAATATTATGGGTCTTATATTTATTAAAAGAAAACATTTTAATTGGCTAGCTGTAAAATAAAATATTAATCGACATTGCTGATTTTAGATTTTGTGGTCAAATTATAATTAATTTACTAACAGTACACATAACCGGCGCTATTGAAACGCATTCATCACGCCTATCCATTGTAATCGCATTGAAGATACTTCATTCTACGTCATTATCGCTATTTATTACTATAGGTGGTGTACCTATTTTATTAAAGGTACTTGAACTCGACGGAACGAATGCAACGTCCCCTTTGGCTTTTCTTGTTGTATACAATATAATATTATGATGTATTGCTGTTATATTATATACTTGCTGTTTTGTTTTTCAAATAAAAACCGCAAACGCTGCAGGTTGAAGCTACAATAATAAATTATTGGTTGTTTTGTAATAATTCAGGTTATTTCAAAATTCATTGTGATGATTTTGATGAGCTTAATTATATTGCTTGTTAAGCTTTTTTTATATTTGTTAACAATGATATTTCAAACGTTGATGCACACGAGGAAGCTTAGATGGGTACACAACAGCTGTCGGTATGCAATTCTATTTTATATGTTTAATATTATAAAAACCAACACTTTATTGGTAGGTTTCTTTAATAACATAATGATTTTAATGATACTTAAAATAACAAATAACTTTACGTTGTATGATAATAGGATATTCATTTGAAAGGTAAGAAAAACTGAAGACCCATTCTTCTGACAACAATATTAAACACCGACAATTATTCCATTCGACGTAAGAGATGGAAATTCACTTCACAAGGTGACTTGGAATTTTTATCGAGCAATGACACATTCTCAAACCGTGACCGCACGTCCAAGGGCAAACTCTCGATTCTATAGTTCAGGGGGGAAACGTTTGATTATATTATGCACATAATAATATAAACACTTTCCATAATTGTCGACAATTTTAAAATCGACATATACAATTTTTTTTCAAAAATAATTTTAAATACAATATCGTATTAAAGAAACGAACGTGAAAATTCTATTGAAATATGAGGTCACTATATAATAATAATGATAATTATCATGCGATAGCAAAAATAATATGATAGGCGCCGCTTTGGACGATAATTATTGTATTTGGTTAATTTTTTGTCCAAACACGACCTCGGATCGCATAAACACACAATACTTTTTTTATTCAATAAATAATAGATTAAATGGTCTATATAGAATCCCATTTAACCCGAGTAAATACCGAGTTTCTCCACAACAATAACAATGTTGTACTGTGTACAGCGT